TATAAAGCAAATACTATCAGAACCAAAGAGAGAGCTAGACCACAATACAATGATCATTGGAGACCTCAACACTCCACTTCCGGCATTGGACAGTTCATTCAGACAGAAAATCAACAACAAAACAATGGAATTAATCTGCACTATAGACTTGGTGGACCTAATAAATAGTTACAGAACATTTCATATAATGGCTGCAGAAAATACGTTCTCAGCTCATGGATCATTTTCAAAGATGGATCACATGTTAGGCCACAAAACAAGTCTTAAAGAATTCAAAAATATTTTGAAATCATATCAAGGATTTTTCTTTAATAACAATGGAGCAAAACTAGAAATCAGTAGCTGAGAACATTGGAAACTGTACAAACACATGGAAATTAAACAATATACTTCTGAATGACCACTGGTTCAGTGAAGAGATTAAGAAAGAAATTTAGAAGTTTCTTGAAACAAATGAAAAAGAAAACACTACTCATCAAAATCTATGAGATACGCAAAAGCAATAATAATAAGAAAGTTAATAGCAATAAGTGCCTACATCAAAAAAGTAGAAAAGCTTCAACTAATCTAATGATGCATCTCAAAGAACTAGAATAACAAGAGAAAACCAAACAAAAGATTAGTAGAAGAAAATAAATAATAAAGATCAGAGCAAAAACAAATTAAATTGAAACAGGAAAATACAAAATATCAACAAAATAAAAAATTGGCTTTTTGAACACATAAACAAATTGACACACTTTTAGCCAGACTAATAAAAAAAGACAAATGACCCAAATAAATAAAATCAGAGATGAAAACGGAGACATTATAACTGATACTGCAGAAATCCAGAGGATCATTAGAGACTACAATGAGCAACTATATGCCAATAAACTGGAAAACCTAGAAGAAATGGATAAATTCCTAGACACATACAACCTACTGAGATTGAACCAGGAAGAAATTCAAAACCTGAACAAGCTAGTAAGAAGTAACAAGATAGAGGCAGTGATAAAAAGTCTCCCATCAAAGAAAAGCCCAGGACACAATAGCTTCACTGCTGACTTCTACTAAGCATTCAAAGAACTAATATCAATCCTACTTACACTATTCCAAAAAATCAAGGAGGAGTTAATACTCCCAAACTCATTCTCTGAGGCAGGCCTGTATCACCCTGATACCAAAACCAAACGAAGACACAGCAAAAAAAGAAAACGATAGGCCAGTATCTCTGATGAACATAGATGCAAAAATCCTCAACAAAATATTAGCAAACCGAATTCAAGAATACATTAAAAAGATTATTGATCATGATCAAGTGAGATTCACCCCAGGGACACAAGGATGGTTCATCACATGGAAATCAATCAATGTGACATACGATATCAACAGAATGAAGGACAAAAGCCATATGATCATTTCAATTGATACTGAAAAAGCATGCAATAAAATTCAACATCATTTCATGATAAAAAACTCTCCAAAAACTGGGTATAGAGGGAACTTACCTCAACAGGATAGCTAGATAGAATGAACAATATTCAATAGCACAACAAAGTGACTATAATTAACGATAAGTTAGGGTATACTTTAAAATAACTAAGAGTGGAATTGGAGTGTTCCTAACACAAATATATGATAAATGCCTGAAGTTATGGATACCCCAATTACCCTGATTTGATTAATTCACATTGTATGCCTGTATCAAAACACATGTACCCTATTAATATGCACAATTATGTACCTATTATAACAAAAAAGATAAAAGATTAAAAGATTAAAAATACATTTAAAAAAATTTTAAAAAGCATGTACTTGTGTGTGTTCTTGCCAGGGAGGAGATTTTCAACTTTGCCACCTTGTCTGCTGGAGTTGGCCTTATTAGAATGGTTATTTCTTCACCCAGTATTTCTGTGCAGGACACTTTTGAAATTACTTGTCCAAATGTGAAGTTTATTTTAGGTAAAAATAGATAATAATAATAAGCCACAAATCCACTCATCTGGGCATACGTAAACTGAAATAGATCAAAAGCACAGAAGCACATTGCAACCAACGCCCCTCTTTCTACCTTGCATCTTTACACGGTAGGGATGACAGCACAGGTCTTCCAACTGGAAGACCAGGTGAGGGCGCCAGAGTTCACTCTATATTAAACACTGTCCTGCAAGCACTTAATTTAGTGTGCTATTTTCATACCTCAGCATGTTGTCTGCTTCCCTGAACGTGAGCCTCAGAAGAGTACGTACTCTCTGCTGTTGGATGCAGTAGTCTATATTTGTCAGTTATGCCCAGTTGATCGATGGTGTTATTGAGTTCAATTTTGTCCTTACTGACTTTCTGCCTGCTGGATCTGCCCATGTCTGGCAGAGGAGTGCTGAGTCTCCACCTATACTATGGATTCATCTGTTTCTCCTTACAGATCTATCAGTTTTTGCCTCACATGTTTTTACTATCAGAAGGTGCACGAACATTAAGGATGGTTATGTCTTCTTGGAGAACTGACCCCTTTTTCGTTATGCAATGCCTTCTTTATTCCTGATAACTTGTCTTGGTTTGAAGGTGTGCTCTTTTCTGAAATTAATAAAGCTATTCTGCTTTCTTTTGACTAGTGTTAGCATGGTATGTCTGTAGTCGATCCATTTCTTTTAATAATAGGTATGTCTTTATATTTAAGTGGCTTATTAAGACAACGTATAAGCTGGTCTTATTTCTGACATTTGTGACAAATACTGTTTTAATTGGTACATTGAAATCAGGTGCTCAAAGTGATTATTGATTAGTTCAGTTTATATCATACCATAATTCTACTGATTTCTATTTTGCTTTGTTCTGTCGTTCCAATTTGTGCTTCCATTGTATTTTCCCCTTTATGGTTTTAAGTGAACATTTTATATTAATCATTTTCTCTCCTTTATTAGCATGCAGTACATTTCTGTTGCACTTTTTCGTGTGCCTAGGGTGTGAGTATATATATATCTGGTAGGTATAGTATGATAATTTAAACTAATCGAGTCCTCCAAATAACAACATTCGCACTTCAGTGGAAGTAGTGGCAATACCTTATATAAGAGAAATAATCTAATTGTCCCGTGCTGCGTTCTGTGTATAAAGAACAATATTCCGATGTAATCAAATCTCATACAAGCTTGTTTCGGGATGCACTTTTAAATGGCTGCTTAAAGCCATGCTCCTTCCACAGCCTTTTCTGATCCTTAGAGCTAAGGTTTCTCCCTTCCAGTGTGATCCCTGTAGTCTTGCCTGACTCCTTAGTCAAGCTTTCTTAGATATGTATGGGGTTTTCAGATTACAAAACACTGTCACCTGCACATCTATTGTCACAGTAACCCTCTCGGAGGCAGAATGTCAATTATGTTCATTGTATACAAGGTGACACTGAGGGTCAGGCGTGTGAGTTGACTTGCTGGTCCAAGGGTCCAGCCAGTAAACAGCAGAGGGTAGGAAAATCAGAAGTCAAGTCTCCTAATTAAGATTTCATAAGCCCCACCACCTACTCTATATGAATACACTTTTGAGGGCAGCTCACTCTCACACTTCTTTCAACTTCAGAGGATTGGTGCACACTGGAGGCATTCTAGCAGCATTTTGAAATTTAAATTACTTCAGCAACTAAATTAGTAGATAGTTTAGGATGTTTCATATATGGAGGTTATTGTGATAACCTCAATGAATATTTTTTTTTTGCAATTAATAGTGTCTGGGATTGTTTATAATAGCAACTTAATAAACATGGGCAAGCTATAACAACATTCCACTAAGAAGGGGGCCAGATATTTGAAAGAATGACAAAAATACCTAAATATTGACAACAGATTGCTTGAATTACTTGGCACGCTTCTCTTCTAAAAACAACATTTTACATTTTATCACATCTCACAGGTTACTTTCTGATGTCTAAGGAGATAAAATATTAATAATTTGTGCGGAAACTTGGTTTTCTTTTTTCCTTACTCTCTTAGAAGAGAGGAACAATCAAAGAATAAATGCAAAATGTCTAGTGGCAGAGAAAAGCAAACCCTGAGATGTCAGGAAAAGGCTGGACAAAAATAATCAAGACTGTCCACTTCAACTGAGATGTTCCTAAGGAGTCTAACCAGCCAGGAAGACCTCTAGGGAGGCCAAAACTAAGTGTTCTAATAAAAGATGTTTACCGACTTGCCACTGCGAGAGAGGAAAAGAAAATGCAGCCTCAAAATTTCCCTATGGTTATAATAGGCTTTATTTTGTACTGAACTTATCTCTACATTGCCATGTGTAAACGTCCTTCCTGTCCCTTTTACCTGCAACTGGTTGCAATGAGCGTGGTGGCGCTTCCGTTTGCTCTTCTAACCCCCAAGTTCCTGGCCTGAAATCTGTCTTAAAGTAGGCTCCCAATTCAGTGCATGGCGCTGGTGGTGGCGGTGTTTTGGCATAAGGGGGGAGTTCATTTGGACGCAGAGCAGTTTTCAGGAGAGAATTGCACCCCTAGGATAGCTTGTTTAGACACCCTTGGGAGCCAAGCCCAGAGGTAATGGTTGGAGGATTGAAACTGATTCGGTCACAGGTACTGTGATAGGAAATTGACATGCTACATGCCATTTAGGTGGCGACACCGGGAAATAGAGGCATCAGTCCCTATTTTACAGATGAGGAAACAGAGTCAGACAGATGTATTAACTTTCCTCACGGTTAAGTTTCCGGGGTGAGAACCCGGGTTTGTCGGATTCTCCAACCCCCCTTTCTTTCACTGTGATCAGCGCCGCGCTCCGCCACGGCCAGTGGCGACAAAGGCGAGGAATTCTGCCGCGCCAGGTCAGCGTCTGCGCTGGGCACGACACGAGCCCCTGCAGGTGGGGACTCCACTCGTCCTTACCCAGAGGCAGCGAGGGGCTGCGGCACCCACAGGGCTCCGGGACCCGCCCTGCGTCCTCGCGCGCTTCGCCCACCTGCGGCAATGCCCGTGCGCCCGGTGCCCCGCGCCCGCCCCGCGCCCGCCCCGCGCCCGCCCCGCGTCTCACCCCAGGCCGCGGGCAGCGCGAGCAGCACCAGAAGCGCCAGCGGGGCTCCTCGGCAGCAGAAGCGGAGAAGCGGCGCCGGCGGCCCGGCAGGCTCCGGCATCCTCCCCGAGCGCATCTGCAGACCAGATGTGACCTGGAGGGAGGACGCTGTAAGGAGCACAGCGCAGCGAAAACGAGAGAGACCAATCGCCGGGCTCCGCGCCCAGAGGCTGGGGAGGGCTGCGGGGTTCCGGGGTTCCGGGACAAAAGGCGACTGACCGCAGCTTCCCCTTCGTGGGCAAAGTCTTGTTTACTCTGCATGTGCGTTGCTTCTAAGGAGTTTCGCTCCCAGCGCCCACCTTAGGGACCCAGGTACAAGCAGCAAAACGGGACAGTGCTCCCTCCGGCCGCCTGACGGATTCCGCGCCGGTGCGAGGGGGACCTGCGCTTCCAGGTCCCCCGTGGCAGCAGCTCGGCTTCCGCACGCCCGTGCATGACTTTCTCCGCTTTGCAAGAATGCGCGCGTGGGTAGCTAGCCAACAACGCGCTTGCTCTCGGTGTGGACGGACAGTTGCACGCGGCGTGCGCGGGGAATATGAAGAGCCAACTCGATTTGAGATGTGCCACGCTACTGAGAGACTTTTTTAAAGGGACTGACAATCAGATTTACCTTTTAAAAGTATAATTCTGTGTGTAGTGGTAAGAGGACTATTAATAGATTAGATAAGGGCAATAATAGATGGGGAAGTCCAGTGAGGAAGCTCTTGCCAACCGCCCCAGTGACCTGCGATGGTGGCCCTGGCTGGGTTGATAAAGTGGACAATTAACAAAGATATCGGAGATGGAGCAGCATTTGCTTGGGCATTGGACTTGGTTACTTCCTTTCTTAAAGTTGGTGGTGAAAAAAAGAAAGGCATCAAGAGTTAGCCCCAGGATTAGAAATGAATGGCGGTGCTACTTGCTGAAACAAGAAATACGAGGGAGTGACAAACTCAGGGGAGGGGATTAAGAATTCAAGGATAAACTTATTCCTCCTATCTACCTCTGACTCTGTACCCTTTTAACAATCTCTGCTCCTTGTCTACCCCGTCCCAGCCTCTGGGAACCACTATCCTACTCTCTACTCCAGCTTTTGTAGATTCTGAGAATGAGTTGTATGTTTGGCTTTCTGTGCCTGGCTCACTTCACTTAATGTAATGTCCTCCAGGTTCATGCATGTTGCCACAAATGACAGGATTTCATTCTTTTAATGGCTGAAGAGTATTCCATTGTGAATATATACCACATTTTCTTTATCTGCCTATCCATTGGTGGACACTTGGGTTAATTCCATATCTTGGCTATTGTAAATAGTTCTGCAATAAACATGGGAGTGTATATATCTCTTTGACATAGTGATTTCATTTCTTTTGGGTATATACCCAATACTGGGATTGCTGGATCGTGAGATAGCTCTATTTTCTATTTTTTGAGAAACCTCCATACAATTTTTGAGAAACCTCGATAGTGGTTGTACTAATTTGGATTCCCATTGACAGTGTGTGAGAGTTCTCCTTTCTTCATATCTCTGCCAGCATTTATCTCTTGTATTTTGGTTAATAATTATTCTACTTATTGAATTATTAAGAATGAATGAAGTGATATCTTATGGTGGTTTTGATTTGTATCTCCTTAATAATTAGTGATATTGAGCTTTTTTTCATATACCTGTTAGCCATTTGTATGTCTTTTTTTTTAAGAATTTGGATTTTTTTACCCATTTTAAAATCAGATTATTTGTCTTTTTACTATAGAGTTGTTTGAGTTCCTTATACATTCTGGATATTAACCTTTGTCAGATGTATAGTTTGCAAATATTCCCCCCCCACACTCTAGAGGTTTCTCACAACACTCTGGTGTCACATGCGCGACACCACAAAAATATACAAAATTTATATGTCAAAATAAAAAAAAAAAAAAAAAACCACAAAAAGAGAAAAACAGAGGTGTGGGATACGCAAAAAAATCCCCCCAAAAAGATGCACACACAAAAACCCACAAAACCTGAGAGTGACACCACACAGCAAAAAAGACACTGCACAGGGAGAAAAAAAAAAAGATAGAGAGAGAAAGAGAAAAGACCCGAGAAGACACAGGTGCCCCAGATAAAAACACAGGGATCCATAAGAGGAAGGCGGTAGCTCAGAAGGCAGTAAGAAAAGCAGAGATCAGAGTAGAAGAAGCCAGATTATACTGAGCTGAGGAAAAAAGAAGATTCAATTCCCCACCCTACATCACGCGCTATCATAATGTGTCACTTTTTACCACATGTGTTTGCATTCATCCCCTGGCATCTGCTTTCTCCCCTCATTCCTCATTCCCCTCCTCCGGGTTCTAGCTCCCGGCTCATGGCCACCTTCTCCATTTATGACTCCTGTCACATTCCTCGGTGATTTCAATATTGGTAGCAATGGTATTTTCAAACCCCTGAACTTTCAGTGCCTTGACCTCTTCTCTGCCAGTGACCTTGTCCTCCACTCTACCCTGCCACTGATGCTCATGCCCATACCCTGGAAGCTGTCACACCCCCGCATAATTCCAACTGCCCTACTCTCCAACTACCAATCCTATCCTCTAGTTCACCACTGGTACCCTGAAACTGAATCCAGCAAGCTTTGTCTTGGTCAGCACCCATAGCCCACTGATCCTACTATTATCTCTTGGTCTCTCATATCTTCACTTTCATCCTGGTTAAATTCCATGCTGCATTGTTATAACCACCATCTTGCACAAAACCTCAGCTCCCTTGCCCTTCCTTCTGTGACTTTATCATATTCATTAGACAAAATAGCATCCCTGGTTAGATTCAATTCCCCATTATTTTGTCCCTGTACCTGTGAAACTGAATGTGGCTGGAAAAAAAAACAAAACAAAACACATAGCCATGATGACTTGTTTAAATTTAATGACAACTCATTGCAAACGGACCGTTATAATTCTGCCTGGTATTCCCACTATTATTTTCTAGTCCACTTACTCCCCCATACTCCTAAATAACTATTCATTTATTTATTTAGAGACAAGGTCTCACTCTGTCGCCTGGACTGGAGTGCAGTGACATCATCATAGTTCACTGCAACCTTGAACTCATGGGCTTAAGTGATTCCCTTGCCTCAGCCTCCTGAGTTAGCTATGACTACTGGCATGAGCCACCACCTGGCTTATTTTTCTATTTTTTGTAGAGACAGGGTCTCACTATGTTGTTCAGGCTGATCTCGAACTCCTGGCCTCAATCAATCCTCCTGCCTCTGCCTCCTAAAGTGTTATGATTACAGGTGTGAGCCACTACGGCAAGCCTGAATATTTTTATTTTGATGCTGAACTCTGACATTTCCTCCATCATTTTAAATCCCTGTTATTAGCTTTGTGCTTCTTTTTCACTGAAAATAATAGAAGTAATCAAAGAGACCTTCCACAATCTTCTATCGTCACTCCATCCAAATAGCTGTATTTGGCCTATATAGCCTTCTTATCTATATGTTAATTATATATTAGTAGAGTTATACTCTTCATACCTTTATCTCAGGATAGCCTCTCCACTGGTGCCCTAGATTCATTTTGTTGTCATTTGCTCAAAGACATCACTCCAGGAATTCTTCCTCTTTCTAGCATCATTATTTCCCCCTTTCTACTGGATTTTACCATTAGTGTGCAAACAAATTATTTCTCCAAATAAACAGGTATATTTCCTCTTAAGCTCTTTTTCCACTTAATGTTCCTTTTGCTTGGAATGCTCTTTGCCCAGACATCTGTCCACATGGCTAGCTACCTCATCTCCTTGAGTTCTTCTGTTCAAATGTGACATTCTCAATGAAACTTTCTTTGGCCACTATTTAAAATTGCACATCTATTCAGAAACTCCTTTCCTCTTTCCCTGCTTTATATAATTTTAAAAAATTGTACCTACCATTTTTTTTTCATTTTATTACTCTGACGATGTGCTTATTCCATCTTCCTCCCACTAGAATAAAAGCTGTATGAGGACAGGGCCGTTTATCCCTGCTAAATTCCAAGACTTAAAATAGTGCTTAGCACACAAAATGATTTCCATAATTATTTATTGGATGAATGACTGTAATGGTTGAGACTGTAATGGTTGGTTAAGGTCAACCACTCTTTCAGAAAGTTTGGTGGTAAAGAGAAGTGAGATGGTTTTAAAAAAGAAGCATGGATGGTTTGGGGGAGGATTTGTTTTCAGATTAAGGGTATGGTGTACATCTGTTGCTTTAAATGGATTTCTTCCTCTGTAGTTTGCCCCCAGATTTTTCCACTGGGAAATCCTCTCTTTCCCCTGGTCCTGTGAGGTTCAGGTAGACTATAGTGTTTCAACTTTGATATTACTGACATTGTGGGCTGGATAATTCTTTGTGGTGTCCTGTGCATTGTTGGATGTTTAGCAATATGGCTGGCCTCTCCCCACTAGATGCCAATGACACTTCTCTGCTCCAATTGTAGCAACCAAAAATGTCTCCAGACACCACCAAACGTCCTCTGGGGGCAAAGTCACCCCACTTGAGAACCACTTCAAGGCTGGACAGGCAACTCAGGCCTTGTCATCTGCTTGTTTCGCTGCCCTGGCCCTAGTAATTTGTGTATTCGGGGGCATGTGACTCTATTTGGACAAGTGAGAGCTATCAAAGGGACAGTTCAAGGAGTTATTGGACAAGCGAAACTCTACATTGGAATGCTAGTCTGACAGGATGTGCATTGGCACGGTCAGCAAGTATTTTGACAATTTTTCAGTTTCTATAAGAGGATGAAGCCAGGAAGTAAGAGAAAGCAGAACCAGGAGATACCATAGATTCCCAAACATAAGATTTGAATATTTAATTCCTGTTTTGACAGATGTCAATGACACCCTGGGTCTTCTCTGTCATGTGATATAATACGATTCGCCTTTGGTCTAAGCCGGTGTGGGATGCATTGCTGCCACTTGCAGGCACACAGGGCTGGAGGAAGTTTGTCGGTGGAAAGAAGGAGCTGGTGATGGGAGACACTGATGGAACCATGTCCCGGAAGTGGCAGAAAGGGATGAGAAGAGAAAGATAAAGTCTGTGAAAATGGGTAGATGGAAGTGAGGGTAAGGGAGAGTGGATGTGGATAAGCTTGGAGGTGGAGCGACAAGTTGAGACAATGACCCTGGGGTGTTTTCATCACCCCCTAAGAGAAGGAAGGAGGGATGAAGGTAGCATAGAGCAGATGGTTTGAGGTGAGTGAACAGACAATGTGGAGAAATGAAAATGGTACCGACTGTGAATGAATAAAAGGTGTAGCTCACTTCTGACTACAGATCCAGAAGAACTGAAAGCAGTGTTTGCACCCTCATGCTTCTAGCACCATTATTCACAATGGCCAAGAAGTGGAAACAACCCAAATGTCCATCAACCAATAAATGAATAAACAAAACTTAGTATATACACGCAATGAAATATTACTCAGCCGTTAAAAAGGAAAGAAACTCTGACACATGCTACAACCAATGGGAACCTTGAGGACATTATACTGAGTGAAATGAGCCTGTCACAAAAAAGACAAATACTGTATGATCCCACTTATATGAGGTTCCAAGGGTAGTCAAAGTCATAGAGGCAGAAAGTAAGATGGTGGTCACCCGGGACAGAGAGAAGGAGGAAATGCAGAGTTATTGTTTAATGGATATAAAGTCTCAGTTTTATAAGATAAAAACATTCTGGAGCTCTCTTGTACAGCAGTGTGGATATACTTAACCTTACTGGGCTGTACACTTACAAATGGTTAAGATGGTAAATGTTATGTTACGTGTTTTGTTTTGTTTTGTTTTGTTTTTTTACCACAATTCAGAAAACAGAAAAAAGATGCTGAACAACATACCTAGTCTAGGGGAAGGTAAAGAGAGTAAATTTGTGGTTACCTGTGAGTAAGGATTTATTTTCTCAATAGTTTAAAGGGAAAATTCACAGTGGTGGGGAGGTTGAATGGGCCAGGAAGGATATTGGCTGGACAAATACAGGAGAGAGTCTTGAGAGTGAGGGAATCAGAACTGTGGGTTACGAGTTTGGCTAAAATGACCAAGAGGCAGGATCCAGATGAATAATGATTAAATCGTGAACTCTAAAACCCCTAAGACTATGTCTGTTATTCAAGAGTTCATTAACCATTGACTCCACGCAAAAAAATTTAAAAAAAAATCATATAAAGCAAAAGTTTTTTTATATATACAATTTATTTGAATGGATAATGTACACGTTATTAAATGACATGTTATAAGCAACCAGAGCTTATAACAAAACTGCTGAGGAAATATCCAAAACTTGAAGTGTACACCAAATCTTTGGAATTAGAACTTGACTCCCATTATTTCAAAAAACTTGTGCAAATCGGAATCACTAAGTGATTATGGAAAGGCAAATTATCATAGCATTGTGCAAAAATCTCAAAACAAGTGGGGATGAGAGTGAAATGTTTACTGATATCAAAGAAGCAAGCTACTATTAAAATAAAAACAGACATCCAAATAAAAAGGAATACTCCTCAGAATCATGGAAAGTGCTTATATTTTGTTTACATAATTAAAACCACACTGTAACCCAAAGCATATGGTAACACTGAGTATGCTGTTCACAAAAAGAAGATGGATCTAGTAGGAGACAGCTCTTTTTAGTGCCTTCCTTAAAAAGGCAACACTTTTAGAGCCATGTAATTGTTTATGGCCATAGCTGGCTTCAGGCATATCACAAGTGAGGCTTCAGAAAGTCATTAACAAACACATAGCAGTGAAACTGGGCTTCCATCTTTACCATAGAGACGTTCTTCTTGACAATAAGTGCACATAGGAAGTGATAGCTTATGAAATCGTTCCATTGATCTTGAGGCCACACAAGAGGCTTGCTGGTAAGAAAGTGGTTTCTTTCCAGTCAATGTTTAGCTGGATTTCAAGCAACGAGGCACAGTGAAATCGATCATTTCTGTTTAGGAGGCAGCATGAATAGCAGTGATGCAACTCCAAGTTTAGATAAGAATGTTAACATCCTCTACATATACCAATTATAATTGTTATAAGCAATAAAGCATCAAGGATATTGTTCTTTTAAAAGATCCCTCTTCAGAAAACATGACCTGGAATAAACAATATTTTATTCAAATGTAGTTAAAATTGATTGATAAATTGATAAATATGAATAAAACTAAAGGAGGGAAAGATGGAAGCAGTATGCTCATTCTCATTCATATATTCATTCAACAAATATTTGTGTAATAGCTTTACTCTAGACCCTGACTGGTTTGGATTTAGAAGTCACCAGCATGATCCTCTCTCCTTCTTCTCCTCTTCCCTTTTTCTGCAACTCATCAGCAGCAAGTAATCTTTTCTTCCTCAACTGCCAAGATCTCGCTCCAGCAATCCTTCCCTCTCTCTTCCCTGCCACCACTTTTCTCCTTCTACTAGGTCATTCCCATCAATTTATAGAATAGACATAGCTGCTGTTTCTCCATTCTTACAAAATATTTCCATTGACTTTGCATTTTCCTCTTGCTATCCCTCTACTTTTCTGCTCCTCTTCATAGAAAAACTCCTCAACAGAGCTGTCTCTAGTTGATATTTGCAGTTTCTCTCCTTTCATTCTCTCTTAAGCTCACTCCAGTCCAAACTGTCTCGTTCAAGTTCACCAACGAATTTTGCGCTGCTGAATCCTATGGTCAGTCTTCGAGACTCATCTTTCTTGACCTACCAGCAGCACCTGACAGAGCTGATCGCTCCCTAAAATTCCTTCCTCACCTGACTCTGAGGTTTTTCCCCTGTACCAGCGGCTGCTTCTTCACTCCTCTGTTGCCCCCTTCCCCCTCCATGACTCCCGATGCTGGGAGCCGAGGTTCAGTGCTTGGAACTTTTCTCTTCCCTTTGCCTCTTTCACCCCTCGCTGGTCCTACTCAGCCCCCCTGCTACGCCCGTCCACACAATCCCAAGGCCCACGTCTGCATCCAGCCTGGACCTATTGCCTGAAACACAGAATGTCTTCTCGCCACTTCTATCAGACATGTCACACTTCACATCTCCAAAGAGGAAAGCCTGATTTTTCTCCCGAATCCCACTCTTCACATTCTCAATCACCTTAATTAATGCTAATTCTGCCCTTCCAGTTGCTTGGACCAAAACACCCTGGAGTCACCATCATCGACGCCTTTCTTTGCCTCTCACAGTCTGATACAAACTGTCAGTAAATCCTATCGTCACTAGCTTAAGAATGCAGGTGTCATCTGACCTCCTCTCACCAGCCTGGTGGTAGCCGCTCACACTGTCCTGCCTGGACCATTGCAGTAGCCTCCTCGCGGACGCCCATCTCCCACCCTTGGCTTCCTATGGTCTGTTCTCAACACAGCAGTTAAGGGGATTGTGTCACTCCCTCTGCTTAAAACCCTCCAATGGTTCCCATCTCAGAATAAAAACCAAGCTCATTGCAATGACCCGGCATGCTCTGTAGGATCATCCTCTCCCTACCCCACCCCCCCTTCTCTCTGATCTCATCTCTACCACTCTAGGGCACACGGGCCTGCTTGCTGTGCCTCCAACACAACCGACACACACACAACTTACAGCCTTTGCACCTACTGCTCTGCCCTCCTGGAACGCCCCTCCCCCATGTGGCCCCATGGCTGACTCCTTGTTTCCCTTGAGTCTTTGCTCAAATGTCCTTTTCTTGGGGAGGACTTCCCTTGCAACCACCCTGTTCTCTCTATCCCCTTGCCTACTTCATTTCCTTTTGTAATGCTGATCATCTCCTTATGTTATTCTGAGTTGTTTTGTTATTTAGTTTAATATTTGTTGAATGGAGGAATGGATTTAAAAAAAAACACACACACACCAGGAACATTCGTTGGCCATATGAAGTAGGTGAGTTAACAAGTGCTGTGCATTATTACTGAAGACTCGTGCCATTTCAAAACCATAGATCCAGAGTACTATGCTTATTGATAGGTATAAGTTGAAGGAAATGTTGACATATACATTAATAAGAATATTTCAATTTCATTAGGTACCAGTTTGTCCTCTGATTAGCTTGCTGGGTTGTATGGATCAATAGAATATAATTCTCGTGTTTCTACATGGGCAGCTTCTTCTTGAGGGCGTTTGTTTGTATAATAATTGCTAAACAGAAAAAGGAAGAAAAAAATAAAATCTTTACTCATTGAACATGATTACTATAAAGATGCAACCGTTCTTTGCCTTCCATGATTCCCAACACATGGTAAGTACTTTTCATGGATGATTTCATTTTATTGTCAAAAGTATCCTATGAAGTGTAAAAACACTATAACCCCATTTTTTGGAAAGGCACATGAAATCGATAACTTGCTAGGCTCGTAAGTGTCCAAGTCAGAAGCTGACACAAGGCAGCGTCACCTCAGATTCACAACTTTTTATGACTAACAACTACAAATCCCAAATTGAAGAAAAAAAAAATCAAAATGTAGCTTTTATTTTAGAATATGATCATAACTTTACCCTTTTGGGACACTATCTTCCAGTCCAACTTAAAAGAAAATCTTTATATTTTATGTTTAATTCAAAATCCTTACCTGGTCAAACAACACTAAAAGCTTTAAGCAATTTTCAAGAGAATGTTTTCATTTTTGCTCTTTGAAAGCACACAGGTTTCACTGTATTTCTAAAACCACTTTGCCAGAATTACTGAATGATAATAAAGTGTGCTAATCCTACCATGTAGAATTCTAAAATAAAGTATTACAAAATTACTGGGGAAGAAAGATTACCTACTAAGAACACTGACAACATGTCACTCGCTACCATATTTAAAAGGTCAGAATATAGAAGATGCAATAAAAATATTATAAAATGGTAATTTTTAGATCCATGTGAAATTTAGGCTTTGTTAAAATATTTTAGATGACTAGAGAAGAATAGCATGGTCTCTTTCAAATGTGTGGGTGACTTGTTTAAACATTTAATTTTGTCACTCAACATTCATTTAAAAATGATTACTCATCTCATTTGCAAAAAGTATTTAAAGCAGCTTAAATGTCTATATGATTTATCAGAAAATACACTGAAGTAGGTTAGAAAATGGAAATAAAATGAGGGACACAGGAATTTAGTTTAACGTATGCATTTGTTTCCCATCAGTTGAGGCTCTTGAATATAGAAAATGATATAATCATGTTAATAAACAATAATACTAGAATATTATGAATTATTTGAGCTTATAGGAATTCCCCCAAATTTGCAAATTTTCCTACACGTGCAATGCTCTGATAGCAAATTTAGTAGCATGAAGGAAAGCGATAGAGACCGCATTTTCTATTTATTCAAATTTCAAATTACTCTTGGCTAAAATTATCTTCTAACTTCCTGTGAGGAAAGTTGTGTTAATGATATCCCTACTTTTTTTTTTTTTTTTGAGATCATTTTCTCCCTTGAATCCATGAAAATGACTCTCTCCCGGTTTTCCCTCTGCCTCTGACTGCTTCTTACCCGCCTGACTATTAGGCATTACCATCCCTCTGAGGTCTGCTCTCATCTTGATTTTTACCTATTCTGTTCTTTTTGGTCCTAAGCCTTCCATTGTGATTTCAGTGCCCCTCACCTGAGTCCCAGCCCTTGTCCCAAGTCCTACATCATGGTCAGAATTGAACTCATCATCTTTCCCTTCAAACCTGCCCCTCTCCTCTTTTAGTGAAAACGAAGCACTGGGTCCACCTAGTCACCTTCATGTCAGTCATTATGTGCCTCCTTCTCGCCATATCTACAAGTCACCAAGTCCTGGGGAGCACAACCTTGTCCCCCCCTTTTTTTAAAAAAGGAAATTTGAACCTTATTTCCTTGCTTAAGATCTTATAGGATAAACCCCAGCTTCTTGTCCTGGCATCCAAGGCTTTTGATGACCTATCTCCTAAAGACCCTTCTAGATTTCCCCAACATCTACTAAAGGGAACATCAGTTCCATGTGATGTTAAAAGCATTATGTGATGAAAAGAGTTCTGCAGTCCAAATAACTTTGAAAAATTCTTGTTAAAAACAGAACAAAACAGGCTTCTTTGTTGCCAGATTTTAAATATTCTCAAGGCCATTGTGAATCCCCACAAGAAAAAACTACAGTATGCAAAATTTCCCAATCTTATTTGGCCACGGAACATCATTTCTCCTGAAGTCATTCACAAAACCAGGACTGTGTAGCACACATTCCGGTAAACACTACAGTCTAAGTATATCCTAATTGTAGAGTTTGGCTCTCCCAGGCCTAGAACAAGCTGCTCAGGTTCCTAGAGGCCACCAGTATATAGTTTCAATGCAATTTCTTCATGTCTGACACTGAGACTAGGCATTATGCAACTATGAACAGTGGCATCAGGAGACACTGGTGGCATCGTACATGATAGATTCAGGTGACTGGGCATGCTATCGCAATTTTGCTGGAGTTTTGGGGTGACATGTTTGAGGTTGCATGACTTGGCCATCCCCTACTTGAAGTTGCTGAGACTTGGTAAGACTTCACCTAATCATCCTCTATAATGCTAGCACGCATGGAGACTCTAGAGCAGGCGTCCTCAAACTACGGCCCACGGGCCACATGCAGGTGTTTTTGCCCGTTTGTTTTTCTACTTCAAATAAGATATGTGCAGTGTGCACAGGAATTTGTTCATAGTTTTTTTTAAACTATAGTCTGGCCCCCCAACGGTCTGAGGGACAGTGAACTGGCCCCCTGTATAAAAAGTTTGAGGACCCCTGCCAAAGAACCTATGCACATAAAATATTCCCAGGCTGACACCTGGTGATACCCTTTGTAAAGATGTATACTTTGCACCTGTCAGTATTCTGCAGTTTCCATGAGAGGTATGTGTCAGGATTTTTATGCCATGCATCCACCTAAACCTACGCCACTTTTGCTTCAGTCACTGTCTCACACCCACACCCACACACACACACACACACACACACACACACACAATTACCCGGCCATGTCTACGTGGTTATGTAGTTCTCACAACACCACGGTGCAAAGGCAAGCTTCTGGGCCTTTTCCCAAACCTCTCCTTCTGTCTAGAAAACTTTTCTCTCCTTGTCTACATTCTCTTGAGCCTCACCTGAAACATCTTCTCCACTATGGAACATTTGCTGATCAAAACTCCCAAGTATTGACCATTTCTTTGTGTCCCCGCCAAGTATCACGTCATCCCCTATGGTAACGTTATTTTACGGTGCTAGTTTCTTTACATGCTTGTCATCTCTACCAGGCTGTGACCTCCTTGACGACAGAGCCCACATCCTACTAGGCTTTGTGTAGAGCTAAAACATAGTAGGCATTCAGTGATTATTGTACAAAAAGGAATGAATAGACACAGTCATTATCTCTTTTCAGATCACTTCTATTTCTCTAACATTACTGGTCAAATTTTTAGAAAGCCACGCATGTATAATGCTAGATAGACCAAGCTGTGGAAGTGTCTATGGCAAATTGCTGATATTCATTAACTTAGCATGTTGGGCTTTGAAAGTACCAGTGATCATGCAGTGACAGAGACTGTTCAGTTTCTTTAAAAATGATTTAATTTGTTATAAGCATATTACGCATATATACTTTTGCATACATGAGCATATTTACTTTTGTATTTTAAGAAGATATAATCAGAAAAAATTTACAGTGTTATGAAAGAAGTGATTAAAAAAGGGAAACAAGAAAAGATTTCCAGTGATTTAATTAGGAAAAAACTAACTTTTGTGAGTAGAAATAGAAATATACTTCTTTCCATAACATAAAAAAGAAAAAACAACCCCAAAGCATCCAGCTTCCTTTTAAGTGATAAAACACAAAAGGCCTTACATTAGAAATTCAGGGGAAAATATGCCAGTATTCCCTACTATTATTGAATATTTTCCTTGAAATTCTGGCTATAAGACAAAAATAAGTAAATGACAAGGTATAGTCAGTGGACATGATGTGACAATAATAATTGGTAGAAAATATAGCTTTATACTTAGATGATTTGGTAACTAACTGAAAAACTATTAAAATTAATAACTATGTAATGATAAACTTCCCTAAATATAATTTGAAACTAATTATTGGACATAGCAGAAAATAATTCTATTTACAAAGTCAATAAAGACAAGTTACTTAGAAATTAATGTAGTTTATATGAGCTAAGCTATTAGTATTACATTTTAACTGAGAGATATAGAAAAAGCACTCAAATCCATCATCTATGTTTGTAGAAGGAAATAGCAAATATTTTGAAGAAGTCAATTCTTCCCACATAAATATATAGTTTTAAGGCAAAATCCTAATATTTTATTTGTTTTTTCCTGGGGGTAGGGGGGAAGGTTGTGGTGCATTTAATTCTATAGTCTACCTGAAAAAATGAATAGAAGAAAATTTCAAAATGGTTTAAAGAAGGAGAAAATTGAACTATCTCATAAAAACTATTATAAAGCTATGATTATTAATAGAGTAGTGCTGGTTCATAGAGACAGATTAGTGGAATGTAATCTATCTTCCACATCTATGTCAGATATCTCTGGCATAATCCACAGTTTATATAAGAATTAAAAAGTAATCCTAGTAGTCTGGGAGGCCGAGGCCGGCAGATTGCTCAAGGTCAGGAGTTTGAAACCAGCCTGAGCAAGAGCAAGACCCCATCCCTACTAAAAAAACAGAAAGAAATTAATTGGGCAACTAAAAATATAGAAAAAATTAGCCAGGCATAGTGGCACGTGCACGTAGTCCCAGCTACTTGGGAGGCTGAGGCAGGAGGATCGCTTGAGCCCAGGAGTTTGAGGTTGCTGTGAGCTAGGCTGATGCCATGGCATTCCAGCTCAGGCAACAGAGTGAGACTCTGTCTCAAAAAAAAAAAAAAAAAAAAAAGAAAGAAAGAATTAAAAAGGTACACTTTACCTGTTAAATAAAACTACAAACCAAGGGCACAGAGATGGTTTACTCAAAATAGTCTTCAATAAAAAATGCCTATATTAAAAAAAAGAGCAAGTGGGGCTACTTCGACCACCATACCACAAAATAAATCCCTGATAGATTCAGATGTTAAAAAATAACTAAAAATAGAATGTAAAAGCATGTCTAATTTCTGGATAACAGAACATAACAAAACATAGAAACCTGGTAATATATTTAAGTAATCATGAAAACAACAACTGAGTGAGAGAAAAGATTACTTGAACAAATGGAAAGACCTAGAATGTTTCTGAATGAGAAGACATCACAGAAAAGAAGCCAATTTCTCAGAAATTAATCTATATACTTGAATACAATCATGGTATGTTTGATTTTAGAAAATTACAAATGATTCTAAAAATCACCTATAGGAACAAACAGAAGAGAATAATAGAGAGAGAAATTTCAAAAACTTATAGTGGGGGTTCTTACCTTGCCAGATATACTCTACAACTATACTAATTAAACACAAAGTGATTTGTGATGGAAGATGACACAAATCAAAAAAGCAGAAAAAGGGGTTGAGAAATACAACATGCCCAGGTACACTAATTATGTGATATATTATCAAGTTAGAACAAACTTTCTGGAAGGTCATTTGGCAATGTTTATTGAGCATATTAAATGCTTATACACTTATCCTTAGTAATTCTAGAAATCTATCCTAAGGAAATAAGTGGGTATGGAAAAGGTTTATTCAAAGGTGTTTCTCACATCTTTATATATTATCAAAATAAATGTGCAAGTAACTTAAAATTTAACTTATGCTATTAAGTAACTAAAAAGAAAACATGATTTAAAGACAAGAAAAATATTAACATCAGTCTAAATGAAAAAAAAAAAAAAAGGAGACGGTAATGTCAAACTTTCAGTTTAAAAAAGAGAATGTAAGAAAAAGATCAGATAGAAATATACCAAAATATCTGTAGTGGTTCCCACTGGGATTGTTGTTTGTTTCTTTCTATTCTCTAGACTTTTTACAATGTATCATCTGAATAAACACCACTCAATAAAATAAACGAAGTGCTTCGTATCTTTTAAGTCTTAACAGAAAGGGCTTCCTTCTGTATAACACAAGATACTTTATTCCAGTGATCACAATTGCAGTATTCATTTCACATAACTTGTGCTCCTGTATTTAGTTTCAGGCAAGAAGCCCAAACATTTTGTGCATTTTGGTCAAGTGTGCATTTGAACTTACCGTCCTCTGTGCTTTATTATTGTGTGTATTGTGACAGCAATCAAGCAGAGAAAAAGTAATGCAAATGCAGAAATAGCTAGAAAGAAAAAATAATGAGTATTAAATGCCAGAAAAATGTGACCTATATTGTTTTAAACTGATTGTGGGTGGCCTATTGCTAGTGGTGGTGGTAAATGTTGTGTGACTCTTACACTTAACCCTTCTTGGCCATAAATACTGAATTCCTGAATAATCATACTTGGGCTTAAGGTTTTTCTGATGTGACCCAGCCCACATTTAATCAAAAGCACCAGCCACGTGACCAAGGAGTCACAGTCAACTTTCCATGGAGTTTTTATATTCCATTCAGTTTTATTATTAACATTCTTGTCACCGGGGTGAAATTAGGAGCACAGGACACCATGTTCTTATAATTTTGCATAACAACATTTAACTCTCAGTTGTGAAATGTATTTTGCTACAGCAAACTAGGCCGTCCTATTTCAATCATACCAAATTATGCAAAAGACCAAGAGTTAATGAAAACTAAAATATCAATTTAAAAAGAAAGAATAATAGGCTATTCAAATTATTTATCCAACTCTACCCCAAAGTAACATTTTGTAATGTGACACGTATATTACAATATCCTTAAAATACCAAAAAACATCATTTCCTTTGAGTTAAAGTAAAAAAAAAATATTAACAGGTAGGATATAGGACCTCTAGTTTTATGTATTTTTATAAAACATCATAAAAGCTTTTCTTTAAGTATTTAAGACAACTTACCAGAAATAAAAGGAACAAACGAATCTAAGGAGAATACAAAATCATGAAAATATTAGTCTAATAGAATAATTCAATGTAGCCGTAAGTCCCATGGTAATGTCCCAGAATTCAACACTCAGCTACCTTCTAAGTCTATTTAAAAAATATACTGGAACCCTGAGTCATGCCCACACTTTTCTTATGTAACAACTCACTGGACTTTTTTTTTTTTTTCACTTTAATCAGGTAGGTTATGGGAGTTCACTAATGGAAAAACCCAATATACTCAATTTCATAATCAGAGATTTCTCAGGTTAGAATGCAAATATTAACTGTCATACATGGTTAGTTAACATATTTTTGGAGCTCCCTGTCAAATTAGTAAGTGCTTAAAAAAATTAAGATTCAGCAAGTAGGGCAGTCTCCACAGTAACTCCTTTCAAAATGTAAGGTGGTTAGTTTTGCATTTCGGTTCCTTTTAAGGTAGTGTTCCTCACTATTTTCTTTTATTTACTTCCCTCATCCTCAGACAGCTGTGCTGGTTCTAGAATAGACACCACCACCTTCAAGCTCCTTTGCTATCCGTACCACTGGTCTCAGACCTAGGACAATTTAAAATCCCAGAGACTCCACATTGAGGGAGACCCCTCGCTATCTTCTCTCCATGGGCTGGGTACCCACAATGAAGCCCTTTGCTCTCACCGGATTTGCAAACAGCCAGGGGAGGGTCCCACTGGCGGTCCGCTTGGCACTGGCTCTGAGGACTGCCGTCTAGGGTGTACCCGTCTTCACACTCCAGAGTTACGATAGCTCCATACTGATACATTTTCCTAGGCTCCAGCCCCTTCTGGATTCCGTTCATATTTGCTGGAGAGCTACAGTTTACCTCTGAAATGAAAGGAATCTAATTAAGGTGGAGTCACATTTGAGTCTTTTACCAGGACAACAGAGACTGCCCTTCATAGTAAGGTTTATGACACCAACTTATTTCATTCTCAGCAAGGAAAGCTTCGTTGAAATAGGCTAAGACAATATCCTAGGCACAGTCTTTACGTGTCAGCCATCTATCGTCTCAATAACCTTAAGGTAATTTAAGCCAGGTTATTTTCTTTCTTTTTGCTTCAGCTTCTATGCTGACAGTGTTGGATAATTTTAATGGCTTCTTGGAGAAATGATGAAGGCTGAACGGGTAATATTAAATATTCTGAATTGCTGTTTTATCTGCTCCTACTCTTACTAATTCTTCACACTTGTGCATGCTTTCTCATTTCTTCTTTCTGCAATGCAAGGGTCAACAGTGCGAGATCTTGGATTTGAATCTTGACTCTAGTTCTTCCTACGTGTGTGACTTTGGGTAAATTACAGATCTCTCCATGCTTCTGGAACCTCGTCTATAAAACAGGGGGAATAATAGCACCAAGCTCAGGTGGATCTCATGAAGACTAAATGGGAAAATGCAGGTAAAGGGCTGTGCACAGCATCTGGCATAGAGTAAAAAGCACTCAGCAAAAGATATTAGCTGACCAGTCATATTTCACATGCATTGTTTACGATAATGAAAATGACTTTCTGAAACTTTTATAAAAAAATTTACCCATAATTCCACCATGACTCAGAGGAAATATACTCAAAAGACCATTGTGCTTTCTGTTGGTGCTTTGTCATCAAATACACACTTACCATAACTATAACCTCAGTGTAAATACGATCTGTGCTTTAAGTTGCTTAAGTTACAAAAGCACTTCAATTTTCTATATGTAAATGACTACATAAGTGATCATTCACTAAGTAGATAACAGCCTAAGACATTTTTCTTATTTTGAGATATTTAGAATGATGAATACACTAATCCAATTAAATGCATTTAATTAGATTATTCAAACGATGCATTTCTTTGGCTATTTTAAGATGAAAGCGCTTAACTGAGTATATCTATTTGGCACAAATGTGACTCAAAAATAAGAAAAAATAGATAAAGCACCTTTACAATAAGGGGCAGGCTGGCTCCAGGTTCCTTCATATGTGCAAACAAGGAGTGCCTCTCCCACCAGCAGATAGCCTTGGTCACAGCTGTACAAGATCGACATCCCAGGGAAAAACCGAGCTATGCTGCCACCAGTATGATTCCCGCTGAGGATCTTGGACGGAGGCTGACACCCTAAGAAAGCTTAGACACCAATAAGAAAGGGTCTTTAATTCAGCACAGAGAAACACATAGCCAACACTGTCTCTGGGTAATAGTGACACAGAAAGGCAGCAGGTCAACTAATTGGGATCCAGAAACACTCGTTCATTACGCCCAGACCAAGCAACGCTGGATGGGGACCTGTAGTTCCTATCTACATCACATTAATATATGATCTGAAGAAAAGTGTCAAAGAGTAAGATAAGGAAACATCAATGGCTGTGGTCCACAAACTGTAGTCCATCAGCCAACAGTATTCTTTTCTTTTCCCTTTAGGTAGCAGGCAGGCTGTGTTCTAAGGGTCACACATTCAACTGATTACAGGAGCTAGGAAGGGAAGCCACCAGACATGAAAAATCATCCTCATCCTTCTAAATTTGGCGGCCACCACTCAGCGAAAGTTACTAGCCCTCACTGCTTGCAGGTTCACCATTCATCTTGGGCTGAAGATGCGTTTCACTTAAAATAAGCCTACTCTGCTGGCCAAAGAAAACATCTGGGGAGCTGGATTCAGATCTTGGGGTCACCAATTGGCAGCCTCTGCCATAGCCACTGAAAGGAATGAGGATGCCAAATGGTAACTAAAATTACGAGGAAGATAATTCAGTGGGTTTAAAGGCCAGCTTCACTCCCCAGGACACCCAAAGTTCTCTTTCTGGCTGGTATGATAATATCAAATTGTCAAGCAATATTACTGCCAAACATTTGCCAAAAAAAAAAAAAGATGATATGTGCATTTTTCTTATTCTAAATCCATAAGAATAATAAATTTGTAGACTCCATCAATTTGGAAGTTAAACATGATTCTTTCATGCACTAGTGTGCAACACACTGAAAAAGGAAAGGTGAAAAAAGAATTAGGCAAGAAGATGAGAAAAGGCAGGTATCGTGTAAAACAATAGAATTGCCTTAGCTTTTAGATGCTTTTCTTTAGACAGAATGGCAAGTGCAGATTGGAAAACCCTTTTCTTTATTCTGTACAACAACCCCTATCTTATCCCTTAAAATATCTTACCCATTCTGATGCAAGTTGGTACACCCGGCACCCAGGTATTATCCGAATGACACTTAATCAAGTGACTGCCATTCATGATGAAGCCAGGATTGCAGGCAACATATACTATGTCATTGTGGGAATATGAAGAGTGAGTTTCATTGAGCATGTATCCGTGTCTGACTTCCGGGTTAGGGCAACGAGTGACAGCGGGAGATTCTAAGCACTGAGGGGGAGGGCCACTCCAAGATCCACGTCCTTGAGAATCATTTCTGCACTGCAAATACTTCTCTCCCAGAAGATAGAACCCTTGGTCACATTCATAAGAGACTTCATTTCCATATAGAAAGTGTCTTGCCATCATGCCTGAGTGCCTCCCATTGCCAATCAGGGGTGGAGGTGGACAGCGAATAACTGCAGAAGAGATTTAGGGAATTCCAACTTCAGCTGGTACGTCAAGGTGGGTGGCCTTCGTTCACGTACAAATGATACTCTATAACTGCATATACTTCACTGGAAAATGCATATACTAACTAGAAAATGATTTAAATTTTGCAACCTGGTTTTTATGCTTTTCTAAAACAGCTTTACTATATGTTATAATTATATGAGTTATAAATACTCATTCCAAAAAAAAAAAAAAGAAAAGAAAATTTTCAGAAAATACAGTAAAGTATTAAGAAAGAAAGAAATACAGCTATGTCCCCATGACCTAACGATATGGGCTATATGTTTTTTTATTGTTAGCAAAATTAGCAGATATATGGCAAATAGCCTGTACTTGACGGAGTTGTTTCCCAATACCAGTGCTGACCAAGCCCTGTAAGATTTTTCTTATTTTACTTCCACTGAAGGAGAACCCAAAGGCTGTATGTAGAAGCAGTGGTAGACTCGCCTATCTAACATTCTACTACCACTGTCAGGTTTTAACTTACCTTTACAAAGTGAAAATTTTTGGAACCAAACCCCCTTCCTATCATCTTGACACTTCTGATAAGCATGTCCAGTCAACTGGTACCTGCAGAGAGAGAGATAATAATACATTTCCTCTTCTCAATATCACTTCTCTGCAACCTAGTCTTTTCAAACCTCAAATTCAGAGGAACTTGTAAACAAGAACTCTGGTAAACAGGGCTTGAAACTCAGCTCAGTCTTCCAAGTAAGAAAACTACTTTAGACTTAGAGTCACTCACAGCAAAGCCCTTTCCGTGTCAAGAAAGGACTGAAAAGTCAAAGTTGCCTGTTAGGCCATTGGGACCTCCCACTCTCTATGCACATGACAATAAGGAACCTCTAAAGGGAGTCACCTAGACAAGCTGAGGGTAGAGTTAATATGCAAAACGAGGGGGAGACCCTTTCTCGGATTCAATCACCTCTTACTCACCCATTTGGACAGGATGTATTAACTGTCTCCACATGTGAATCAGCTGGAATTTCCCGAAGATCCTCTCTCATAGGCTGACATGCTTCTGCAGGAGCAAAAATGGAATGACGGTATTAATAGATGCCTCATGTCAAAGAGAAGGACAAGTGGAACTCAAAGTACCTTCACACCGTGGGGCAGAAGGACTCCAACGTCCCGAAGGCATACAGCGAATGGATTTGTTTCCCACAAGCAAGTAGCCAGGGTCACAAGTGTAGTCTACAGTCATCCCAGAGACAAAGAGGACCGTATTTCCACCTGTATGCTGACCGTGGAGTATCCCAGAAGGTGGCTGGCAGTCTGAAGAGAAAACTCCCCACATAAATACCAACACAGACGAATTTCGACTCGAGAACATTACAACATTTCACAACAGACGGCCTGCAACCTCGAAGCCAAAGACCAGGAAGCTCTGATTCATCACTGAGTGTCGTCTGCTCTTTCGAAGGAACTAGGCCCCTTGAGAGGGTCCTCTCGTCATCTGCCCTGAATGGATGCACCGGGATCCAAGGGGGCATTTGCACAAAGAACACGCACAGCACACAGAACATTCTATCACAGAATGGAAGACGTGGAAAGTCATTTGTGCCCCCTTGCCTTTTTCCATAATAGAGTTTTGGTATAATGAACAAGAATAAGTAAATAAATTTCTTTCTGGTTTTTTTTTTTTTTTTATTTCCTTATTGGGTTTTTACCTTTTTCACAAACTGGTATTTCAGGATCCCAGGTGTTATCGGCTTTGCAACGAATCTGACTACTGCCCTTCAAAGTAAATCCATCGCGACACGTGAATGTCACACTGTCGTTGTAGGAATACGGGGCTTCCTTGCCAGATATCTTGTATCCATTTGCAATGGGGGCAAGTAAGCACAGGGCAGTAGGGAGAGAGAGTTTACAGGTGGGTGCGGGACCGCTCCAGATGCCTCTTTTCTGATCATCGCTGATACAACGGATGGTGCTGTCTCCAGTGAGGTCGAACTGCACTCCTCTCTCTGGCCCCGGGTGACATGTGTAAGTGACCGTGGTTCCATATGAAACATCTTCTGAGGAGCTCCCTGTGTGTGTCCCATTGGGGATAACAGGGGGTGGTGGGCAGGTGATTTCTGGAGAGATGAAAAGATACTGTGGGATTCTACTCCAGTATTAAACAAACACCAAAGGATAGAAATGAAACTGGTTACAAACCTGTTGTTTCTTGGAGGGTTTGGGTCAATTTTATATCAGATCTCATTATATATGTAAAATTCAACTTAGATTTCGCAGCAAAGAAAATCTCTATTGAAAGTGAACATGCTTGATCAATATCATATTGAGAGACAGTAAGGCCCAGTGGTAAATTGCTCATTAAAAGAAGAATTCTTTTTTAAATAGCCAATAGGAGAATAAAAGGCATAGGGGAATAGAATTATGCATTCTTGAGTGCCATCTTTCGTTCTATTAAGCAATGGAAACAGAATCTGAGATCAGACCTGACCTCTCCACTAAACTGTGGTGTGCTCAAAATGAAGACGGTGGCTCATATACTCACTGCTGTCATAATTCTTATAATCCTAAGTCACAAAAGAGAATCAGTACCTCCGTACACTTAACTAATTGAAGCAGGAAAAGGTGACAACAGAAAGATGTGGCAAAACTGTGCAACTATAACTGCCAGCAAACTTAATAGAGCAGAATTGAATACTAGAGTTCCCATAACATGGCCCAAAACAGAAATCTTCCAGGCAGTGCTAGATCTCACATTATTGTCGTTCCTATGTCCTTTTTGCTACTCACCATTGCAAACACGAATCTCCATATACCAAGGAATTCTGTCTTCACACAGCTCATAAACACTTCCGCCTAACCGGTACCTAGAGACAAAGAGTCATGTCATTTTGCCACCAGGTGACCACTAAGCTAAGCAAGAGTCTGTCTGCAAAGCAGACTGGCCACTTTCAAGACAAGAAGCAACAGGAACAGAAATGTAGCCAACACCAGCACCACACATACACTGCACAGGCATATAATTTCCATGCATGGAAGAATAGCGTGATTGACACTTCCATGAACACATGACAGGGAAGGACCTTGGGACAAACTCTAACATTGAGCTCACAGTGTGCACTTACAAGCCAGACCTGGTTTAGGCTGAGGCAGCCTTCACTCACCCTTCTTTGCAAAAAGGGTTAACATGTGGTCTAACAAATTGATTCTGGGGTTTTGTAAAGAGCTTCTTTCCTGCAGGTTTACATTCTGCCTCTAAGGAAAAAAACGTGGATGAGAAATGGACTCGAGGCCATCTCAGCACAGGCAAGACATCTACATTTGAGACCTGGCACCTTTGCATCTGGGGGCAGTGGGTGTCCACACTCCATCAGGGGTGCAGTGTATGGATTCTTCTCCCACCAGCACATAGCCAATGTCACAACTATATTTTATGGATGTTCCGGGGTCAAAATGGACCATGTGTCTATCTTCCTTTCGCCCATTGAGGATTTCAGGAGGGGCCTGGCATTCTAAAGAAAAGGAAAAAAAAAAATCTCCTTAAGTAAACAACAGAGGAAACTGGGCTAAAGAAATTAACATTAAGGCTACAATCCCACTCTGGTAGCAGTTGTATGATACAGAAGATATCTTGCAGTCCAGAACTGGGTCATTTTCGATCAGTGTTTCGTGATCTTTTTTTTTTTCTTTTCTCCACCGGGACTGCTGCGGATTTGGTTCAGCTCCCACTCGGCGCTGCAGCTCCTCTCTGGTCTCTTCCCTTCTTAAAGAATCATCTTGTTTGCTTTTAATGGAAGATTCTGACACACCCCTGGGATGGTGGCTGTGATGACTCCCCTTATAGGAAATCGCTATTAAGACAAACAAGCATTTTTCTCCCACTTATTTTTATCCCTAAAGAAGTGGGCAACTTACTGATCCCTAATATTTTTCCCAAGCATATTCCCACAAAATGCAACAATGGTAGGGGCATGGTGTTAAGCAAGTCCTCTATGAAACTCATATTTGCTATATTTAGTGTAATTGAGGGGGGTAGATTGTGGTAAAGGCCCTGCTTGAAGCTGAAAGCCCCTTCTTCTAATTTTTTCAAAAAGATGAATCCGTGACACCTTTTGTGAATATCGGAACACTCACCCTTTTCGCAGACCGGTGCCGACGGCTCCCACATGCCTTGGGCGTTACATCGGATTTGCTCGCTGCCCTTCAGGGTGAAGCCGGGCAGGCAAGCAAATGCCACGGTGTCGTTATAAGTGTATTGGTCTTTCTGCGCAGTTAACACCTTGCCCCTTAGGATCTGGGGCTGTGCGCAATGAACCGCAGGAGTAGAAAGTTCACAGCGTGGGGCAGGGCCACTCCAGGTCCCAGTCCTCTGACTATCAGTTGTACACCGGATAATGCTCTCGCCGATAAGGATGAACTTTACTCCTTCCTCCGGGTCCAGGTCCGGGTCGCAGGTGTAAGTGACCGTTCCTCCATACGGAACATTCCCTGAAGAGCTGCCTGTATGTCTCCCATTGACAACAGGAGGAGGCGGTGGGCAAAAAATTTCTAAGGAAATTGCAGAGAGAAATGACAAGATCGCAGGTGCACCGCAAACAAAGAATGCCTAGGGTGCTGCCTGGTGCCACTCTCACCTCCTAAGGCAGTGATATCTGAATCTATAATGACTCAATCGAGGCAGCTATTAAAAGTATGATTTTAAAGCTTTATTCCTGAGTATACCTACTCTGCTGGTCCTTTGATTTCTTTTACCAAATATACAATCTCCCTTGCCGTACGTGGCCTGGCTGCCTACTTAGCAAGTCCACGTGGCTTTCAGAGGAGGAAAATCCCAGGAACCCCAGAGGATAAGGAGGTAATTGAAGGATGCTTCAGTGAAGACCATCTCTCTTAAAGATCTCCAGGAGTTCTTTGCTCTTTAAGAGTCTTTATGGTAACAACTGAACTAAAAGCTTTTGGTTAGGCTGAGAATGCAGCGTGCTGTTGGACTTCCAATCAAGGAAAAAGGTCAGAATTCGCCACAAATTCTGAACAAACCACAGTTGCCTGACCTACCTTTACATTCGGGCATTTTGGTCCAAACAGCTTGTTCTCCAGCAATTACACACCGACTAGTAGCTTGGCCTTGTAATCGATACCTGGAGACAGAGGGTTGTCATTCAGAACTATCAGGCAGTTTGTGCTGAAGAACAGCAGCCTCTACCTAAAATCCAAGACAAGACTTAACGGATGAGTTGCACCCTTTCTATCAGCATTGCCTCCCTCTCACAACCTCGCCCCAGGCTGTCCATGGAGCCTCACAGGGGAGCCTTCTGCAAGTTCCACCGTGCACATGGAACCCAGATAAATGAATTAAGTCTCGTAGGCTGTCCTGACACTCACCCTTCGTTGCAGGAAACGGTCACAGTGACGCCGACCCGAAGACTTGAAGGCATCTTTATCTGCCCATTGAGCAACCGTCCTGGAGGTTTGCACTGTGCCTCTAAAGAAAGCAAGCCGGAAATTAGAAAAGCATGGCAAGCAACAGAACAGCCCCAATCCTTGAAAATCAGTTGTAAATTTCGGGTACCTTCACATGTGGGAGCGATAGCACTCCAGGCTCCCGAAGACAAACAGTGAAGGATCTTTTCTCCAAGAAGCAAGTAACCGGGTTCACAGCTGTACCTCACAGACAATCCTGGGGCGATGGAGCCCACATTCTCCCCCGTGTGATATCCGTTGGGGATCATGGGAAGTGGCGAACACTCCAGGGGAAAATCTTTACACACGCACACAACACACAAGTCAGGAAAAAAGCCATCAGATGATGCAGGCTTCACAACCGAGCTGTTTACTTAGGACGTAGATCCAAATAAATGACACGCGTGTATCTATGGTAACCAGCTGTCATTAACTTTCAACGCAGCCTCTTAAAGATCAAACAGGTGTGGTTTAATTGTATCCATTTTATGCCATGGATAGGACAATATTTTTCATTTTTAGTTACACTATATGAATTACATTTGCCTTGTGAAAAATTTCAATTACCAAAAAAAAAAGGTCAATTTTCACCTACATTCTCACTCTTTCCTTAAGCCTATTCTCTTTCCAAAAGTAGCAAGCTACCACTTAGAGGGTTATCCTGGCAGACATTAGTAATATGGTTTAACAGAATCCTATACATAATATGCACAAACACATACCTTGTATGTCTGTGTACCTAATACATATTATTCTATCCCTTGAGCTTTTTACTTAGTAATATGTCTATGATATCTTCCCATGTCAACACATACAGGTCTACCTAAATCTTTATAAAGGCTTAATTGTTTTCTACAGCTACTCCATTTTGTTAGTATCCCAAGATCTACCCCTAGGACTATTTATCAATAGATTGATAAACAGAATCCTATTTTTAATAATTTAATAGCTGTTCAGCTCTTTAATCCACTTAGAATTTATCAATATTGTTCTTTATTAAGAAAACAAATACCTAATTTGGATGGTATAGATTCTGGTCAGATATTGTCAATTCCTATAATTGTAGAATTGAAATTCGTATTTAGGTTTCAGGAGCAAAATAGACCAAAGCAAATGAGAAGGAATGGAGGATTGACAGTCGTCCCTATTTTCAAAGGCATTTGATTTGAAATGTGATGGCTCAGGAGACAACTTGGGGAAATAGCAAATCACTTCAGAGCGTGTTTACCAACCACAGAGAGCAGGGCATCCTCTGTGCCGGACTCTATGAACAGCTATTTATAGGTTAGTTTTAAATCCGTTGGGTGTATTTGCGCCATTGGAGCCCACATTTCTTCTCGTTTGAACCTGGATAGGCCAGTTCAAAGCCACCCAATTCTCATGGCCCCAAAAACCTCTCACCCTATTCTTGTGAGACTTAGTTCTACTCAATTATTAGGTATGTTCAATGACATTTTCCCATTATACTTCAAACTCCTTTGCTCAATTGATGATCTTTGAATGAGTAGTCATATTCCCCCACAACTAAGAAGAAAAAAAAAAAAAAAACTCAGGAAACCACAATTTTCACCTTTTCCCTTGCTTTCTCGCCTCCACCCATCATCATACATCCACACTGTTCTCCCTTCAGAAGGGTTCAAAACACGCTCTGCACAGAAATGCAAGACCCCAACCTTCCAACTCAGTTTTATTTTCGTACTCACCACTCTCACAGGTGGGTAGTGGTGTCGGCCCCCATTTTGCATTTTGCTGGCACCAAACAGTTTTGTTTCCTTTCATGGTGAAGTTGGTTTTACAGGAGAATGTCACGGAATCACCATGTCTGTATAGTGGTCTAGATTCTTTACTTATATACCCCCCTGGTATGCTGGGCCGAGAGCAAAAAGAGTTTTTATTGTGGAATTCACATACGGGAGCAGCTTTGTCCCAGATTGCTTTCACTTGGTCTTTACTTATACAAAAAATATTTTTTTCTCCGATGAGGCGGAAACCACTCTTACAACTGTACCTTATGAGAGTACCCACAGGTACGGGTCCAGAGTGGTGACTATGCAACCCATATTGGATGGGAGGAGGAGGGCCACAAGAAATCCCTGGAAAGTAGAAAAAGAACCATGTAAGCCTACTGATCATAACAATAGAAAGATATAAATGTAGATAAAAGATCCAAACATAGGTCGTATCCCTTTTTCAGAAACAAACGTAGACATTCGTCTAATTTATTTCTTACTCATAGTCCCTGCTTATTCCCAAGCTCCTAAATTCTCACCTCTCTCTTGATCCTCAGCAAACAAATCCACAGAAACCATCTTGATGAAGCGGTAACAATGAAACAGAATTTATCTGTTCTGAGTCTAATCAAAAGTTCTGAGTTTTATCAACTTTAATCATGAAACAAAAGGCAAATTTAAATTTAGCAAATTTAAAATTAATAAATAAATAAATGGCAAATTTAAATTTAATAACTAATCAACCAAAAGTTCTGAGTCTAATCTAATGAATAAATAATTAAAAGGCAAATTTAAATTTAACAATTAATCAACCAAAAGTTCTGAGTCTAATCAACTTCAATAATGAAACCAAAGGCAAATTTAAATTTAGCACATGAAAACAACATATTAATTACATAGTAATTACATGTGGGGAGGTACCATGGACTAAGGAAACTTGAGCTCAGTAGACCTGGTTTCAAATACCCAGCTGCCACTCAGCACCCGTGTGACCTTAGGCAAGTCTTACCCTCTTTAAGCCTCAGTTTCCTAGTCTCTAGTATAATTCGAGCTATTTCATAAGGTGTGCTGAGAACCCAGAGCTGGAGATATATGAACAACGCAAGTACAATATCTACAACGTACTAAGTAGTCCACAGCTCTTCCAAACACACAACTGGGGCTACAGATGGTAACTACATTTGCTACTAAAGGTGCTACAGCCTCACTACAGGTCATTTGTCATCGCTTGATGGCACATAGAACCCCTTGAAAAAGTCACAGGAAGTGAACAGAGGTTTTGAATGAAGACCTCATAGTCTTCCTTGTCCTAATTAGCATAAAGGATATTAATGGCTTATGGCTACTTTGGTATATGCACCACCTGTTCTGAGTGAGTCTCAGACAAAAGGGGAAACCTCCAACCTCCAGAACTTCCAGTCACTTTCCCATTGGCTCCGAGAGGAGGTCCTCAGTAGAGGAACTGGTATAAAAGACACAACCAATCTGTTTCAGCACATCAGTGCCTTAGTTGGTTCCAGCAAAAGTAACTTTCGAGAACCTTTATCGTTATACTTATGGAATCTGCAATATAATATGTAATCAGCTGAATAAATTTAATATTTTTGGTGTGCCCTCTAGAACACAGAGAAGAGTGACATATATATGTTCAAAGCACGCATAATATGTTGTAATCGATGAATGCATAAGAATACACCAAAAATAAGAGGCAAGATCCACACTTGATTATTTTTGTTTTCTACTCCAGTTCACAAACAGGAAACTTATTATTCCAGAGTGCTATCATTCCTTTTGAGACACGCTGATTAGAAGATTTGCCATTTAGCTGGAACTGTGATAAGGGGCAGCAAATCATCACCAGAATAAACCAATTTTCAGTTGCATGGAATTAATTACTTCTCTCAGTAGATGGTATTAATGTGATCTGTATTTTTAAGTATTTCTGGCTTATGGAAGAAGAGGTTATCTGTGGCTCAGCCCAGCTACATGATGACTTCAGACTAGGTAAAAACACACAGAGAAAAAAAGTCTTAACAATTATATTCTTTTTGAATTCTCCATCTCCTCTTTGGCATCCAAATGTCAAGATTCTCCTGACCGTCGAGAAGGAAAAGCCCCCTTTTCCTAGCGAAGAAAACATCAAAGACCTGTTCTCCAAGTTCACCCAAGAGTGCCTCTTACTGACCCCAAATCATTTATTCCTTCAACATAATAGGAGCCTTCACTTCTGAACCAAAGTTTTGGTTTTTCAAATGATGAAAGGACATTTCCCAACTTCGGCTGGCCAGGCATAATGCATACAGTTGGAGGAAATCAAGAGGATTTGGCTAATGACAGAGTTGTTAGTTACCAAGCATAAAGAAAAGGAGAGGGAAAAAAAAAAAAATCAAAGAGGAAAAAATGTACCTTTAGAGATCCTACTTTGCTATGCTTAGCTGGGGGTCCTGAGTCTCAATCTAGGCCCCGTCACCTCACACTCACCCCTCATCACAAACTAAGGAAATCTCTGCCCCACGCTGAAGATCAGGAGGAAGATCTACGTGCCATGCATGGACAATTGGGTTTGGAATGGCATCACAGGATTTCACTAGGAAAAAAGAGATAAGGTCGGCACATAAAGAGTCAGGAAACAGTTGAGTCTCCTTTACGTGGAGTAGAGCTATAGGCACCTTCACATTTGGTGGCTGCACTGCTCCAAGTTCCCAAGGATATACACTGGGCAGGGTTAGTTCCAATGGATGTGTAGCCAGGCTCCCGGCTGTAGGGTGCCTCCTGTCCAGTTAGACGCCTTCCTTACCCCTTTTGTCATAATCACCATGGTAGGCATGTGGAGGTGGTAGCCTCCCTGAGAAAAGAACAAGTCCAAAAGGCGTTTTACTTCCGAAACACGAACTTTCTTCTTTACAACCTACAGTCAGCTTAGACTGACTAGGTAAGGGTGGGGCGAGATGCTCACGTCAACTCTCCTAAGTGTAAGGCAGAGATTCCTTTGAGATGGAGTGCAACTAACACGCATGATTTTTTTTTTTTTTCAGAAGTGCAGTGACCATGCAATTATCCACTTTCCCCATCTTGATCTGTGCCAGGAAACTTTACACCCACTTGTCATTTTCCATTTCATTAAACCCAAAGAGTCTGAGATATCTTCTCACCAACAGTTATAGCCAAGGGGACCAAGCTTCTGTGACACATTTTCACCACAAAAATCTGTCTCTTCCTTCCTGCTTTCAAAACAAGGTTGATGAGGTTTTCTGAGCTTTTTTTGAAGGGTTTCCCAAGAAAGTCAGAGACTTCTCGATAAGAGTAGAGGAGAAGGAGAGAATGAGAGGTGGGTACTCAACCTGATTGCTTAATAAAAGCTTCATCTTACAATATGAAAATGTATAATGTCTATAGTATTTTGAATCAAATTCTGATCTCAGCCATTTCCCCCCATTGGCATGGCCAATGGGATTGAGAATTCATTTTATTCTCATTTAAGTAAAATACAATATATATGTATGAAAAAAGTCTATAATTACGGGCTTTTTTAAAAAAAAAGTGTCCTTTAATTTCCCCTACATTAATATAGATATAGCACTGTTCCAGAATACAATAAATTTCCTACCTCTCCAACATTCAGACATTACTTTCAAAGTTTACTTTAAATTCTTTAACCAGGAAACCCAACCATATACACTATCTTCTCCTCCTCCTCTTCCCATAGGTACCATGCATCTTTTCCTCCAAAACCTCATTTTATTTCTAGATCCCAAAGTTTCAGCCCACTCACCCCTGAAGCACTTTGGCAGTGGAAGTTTCCATTTGCTGTTTGGTTGGCACCGTACTACACTGCTGCTTCCCATGGTAAGGCCAGGCTTATGTTTAAACATCACTGTGTCACTTTTTAAAAAAAAAAAAATGAACATAATCCAGATTCTACAATTCCATTAGCAACTTCTGGAGTTGGGTATTTGACTAAAGGAACACACTGGTGGGAGGTTGGGGGGGAGGGGCGTGGCAATTGGCAAGAGGTTGCTCCAGATGCCCTTGTTGGTCTTTGCTGGTGCAATATGTTGACTTCTTACCCAAGAGGTCAAGCAACCTTTCCCTGTTCTGTCCAACATGGCACTGATCAGTCACCACCAGTCCAGAGTAAAAACTCTCTCTACCACTGCTGTAAAAGTCCCCATTGGAGATGGCTGGGGGTGATTACAAGGAATGGCTCTTTGGAGGGTAGGTGGGGAAATAGAGAAGGCATTTAAATATTATACTTTCTGAGAATTTCGTCTTCACTCTTGTAAACCAAACTTCAACTTAGCCTACAATTGACCCATATTGATGAAATCCTGTATCCTGGTCTCAAAGTTGATTCTACATAAGAAGTGTCAAGGTAGGAAGATACATGGAACTGGCTGATGAAAACTGAAAAAGCTATGAGCTGGTCACGTGTCCCACCCCAGACTACAAATAAACTTTTATGGGAGGCACCCAGCATGTCCTACTTTTTGGATGGAATTAAGTTGGCTGTGTGTAATCTCATGGTATATTTTAGATGTAAGCGTTTATTCACTATGAAAAAACTTATCAAAGGACAGTAGTCAAAGGAAAATATCATAGAAGTGGGGACCATGAGGAAGATAAACAAATCACAGCTCTGTGTCTAGAATTACTCAAACCACGTACAACCCTCCTGGGTACTCATTTTCATGTGTAGGTGCCCAGTTTCCCTCTAGAAAGGGACAATAGGAATTAAATAGGGTGCAATAAAGAGATTGTTTTACTCACATTCACAAAAAGGCATGTCCTTATCCCAGGTTACAATATTGTCTGAGAGTCAATATCTAATGACAATGAGTCAATATCTAAAGACAAAGAGATGAGTGACCATCTCTCAGCTAGACTTACATTTTGGGAAAGCCTAGTTCTTTCTCCACTGAAAGAATGGCAAAGAAAAGAAAGGCAAATAGTGGTAATAGATTATTCACACAAAAGATTTGCCAGTTTAAAGCCAAATGAAATTGGACCTCCTGGTAACACCGGAGATTTAAAATTGGAAGCGAGTAGCCCAAACTTCCTTCTCTTCTAGGGATTCTCTCTGGTAGGAAATCCCGAAGAGTTGTCTCTGGAGCAGATTAAGAAGGAGACTCCTTTTAGTTTATCTGGTTTTAAAAGTAGGTGGCAACTACTCAGGTCTCTGGTTTCTGGTTGGAACCACTGTTCTAGTATCCATGTACCCTGGAGACATGTGTCAACTCATCCTTTTTTATAAGAATATGTAATTGCTGACGCAAATGCAATATCCACAGGTGTAAGCACAGAGCTGCAGAGAAGTTCTCCACAACTCATACATGATTTACCTACAAAGGAAAACAAAACAGGATTTTGGGCTAGGATTTGGAAGACTTTCTATGTTTTATATTAAATCCCAGCCTGACTGGATTTGCTGATGGGCTTACTTATGTTTACATAAAGAAATTCTTGACATTTACAAAACTTACACATTCCAAAAGATCCTTCAATCCCAGAACACTGTTTGTTTAAAGCACACAGTCTAGAGGTTGGATTTGGTGGGTTACGCCTATAATCCTAGCGTTTTGGGAGGCCAAGGTGGGAGGATGGCTTGGAGTCAGGAGTTTGAGACCAGTCTGAGCAAGAGCAAGACCCCATCTCTAGTAAAAATAGAAAAATTAGCTGGGCATCTTGGCAGGCACCTGTAGTCCCACCTAGTCAGGAGGCTGAGGCAAGAGGATTGCATGAGCCCAGGAGTCGGAGGTTGCAGTGAGCTATGATGATGCCATTGCACTGTACCAGGGTGACACAGCAAGACTCTGTCTCAAAAAAATAAACTAATAAATAAAAATAAAAGTAAAGCACACAGTCTATATTTCTGAACATAGATGCAAACTTTATTGTGGTCAATTATAACTTATAATCTCCATTTCCCCTTTTTATATCTATTCTGTTAGTTGGTGGCATCATTTACCAAGTCTCCTGGCTTAAATATCTTCACGGTCATCATTTCCTTTCTGTATCTCATCCTCGACCCCCTCCCCTTCATTCAATTAGTCACCAAATTTTAGGGACTGGACTACAGAAATCTCTCTCCAGACCAATTATTTTGCTGCTGCTGTAGTCTTCCATTGGATCACTGAGTAACATCATTTACCTTTTTAACTTTGTTCTCCCTTTGGCTGGTATGTCTTTTATTCTGCTGTGCATATTATCTTTCTAAAGCACAAATGTAGTCATACCACTCTGCACATTTAAAAACTTGCAATGACTCACCATTGTTTATAGGAAAAAATGCAAGGCCTTTCACAATTAAGCTCCAATCTACTTAATCAACTGCCATTCTTCACCATGTACCATACACTCCAACCACATTCATTTTTTTTTCTATTTTCCAAAGACATCATGTTGTTATGGTGTGAAAAGCTTAGGCTTTTGCAAATGCTGTTTCCTTCCCCCCCAGAATTTCCCTAATTCTCTAGCTAGCATTATTATTTACTTCTCTATGATCTCATAGCACTTTTTAAATAAAAGAAATCACATCATAGTGCACTATATGTTTAAGAGTCAGTCTTTACAACCAGTGTAGGAGTTTCTCAAAGGCAGAGATTAATTTTTATGTCCTTCCCAAGCCCCATCGTCTGGTCTAGTGCTTCATACCTAGTAGTTAGATAAAAATATTTTTTTGAATTGAATGGGGGAAGAATGAGGTAATATTAATAGTCCTTGTATACTAACTTCTAACCTCACTGTAACACAGTATAGAGACCATAATGCAAAGTCATAGAGATTATAGGATAAAAAGGTTTCATTAGCTGTGATGACTTAACCCCTCCCCCCAAATTCAATATCCTTAGGAGTAAAAGGAAACATGGAGAACCCAGGAGCCCCCTTCACGTGAGACGGCATACTGATTAACTACTGCACTTTTATCTTGAGAATAATGGGTTGTCCCATTCAGACACAATGATAGACCCAAAGCTGCCTCTTTTACAAAAATACTCATGTTTGTAGAACCTCTGTGGCCTCTGATCACTTGGAAGTCTCCAGGGAGGTGATAAAGAATGACCTCTTGATATACCCAAGAAGGCATCTGTATTCCCAAGGTGGCCCAACAGCAAACTCAGACTTAATCACTCTGAATTTTAGGCTTGGCCAAACAATACCTTGGCAGGAACTTATACTGACCCAGAGACAAAGACCACAGGAATACCAAAACTAGAAGGGGCTAAAACTTCTCCTCTGCTCTTGTTTTGTCACCAAGTATCCTGCCAACTTTCATCTTTATAAAAGAAGTCTAAAATGGGGCGATATTATCTGGGACTAAAACACACATCGTTGCAGTATGGGAGAATATACAGAGCAATAAGCTCAGAGGTTCAAAGAATTTTTTCCGCATAGACTTTAGAGGAAGAGCTGAAGACAATCACTCTTCACAAATTTCAAAAAGACCCTGGAATTGTTCCATCTTCTTACAACTTTATAAGTAAAAACCAGTGGTTTTTGTTTGTTTGCTTAGAAGTGGAGTCAGAGCCTGGGGTAAGTAGGAAAGGATAAGCACATGGGTTTCGATTTGGTTTTCGGTTTGGGGTTTTTTTGTAGGAGCGGATGTTAATATTTTTTTCCCAGCTTTATTGAGGTATAATTGTTACACAAAAAACTGTATATAATTAATGTATACCATTTGGTGGGTTCGGAGCAAAAAAACTAGTTTTTATAAGTACAAACTAGAACTTTATAAGTAAAAAATCTTATAAATGAAATATTTTCTGGGATAGCATAGGAAACTAAAGTACACCAGAGATCTTGTAAAAGCCCAGCACACGTATGATCCTTTCAAATTATTTAAATTAATTTACATAACTATCTTAGCCATTAAACCTTTAGGGCCTAGAAAGAAGAAAATATGTTTATTCATTATTTTTCACTATTTTATTCTATCTGTCTAGTACAGGAATACGTCCCCAAAGAGAGCTTCGTAAATACTTTCTGATGATCACTAGATAAAAGGAACTAGTCATCTCAAGACAGTTCCCTGTGACTTAAAATAATGATACTGTTATCCCAAGAGATAGCTAACAACCACATACTTGAGGATGGACCCGGAAAAGCCATTTTTCTATATGAGAGAGAGAGAGAGAGAGCGCTCAAGTTTCAATGCAGAGATTTATATGCAGAGAACAAGAAGCTAATTCTTTTTCCAGATCAGATGGTAGTCAAGGCAAAGAAGTGCCTCCCTGTGAAGGCCTCCCAGAATAGCCCTGTATATAAATATCAAATTTATAAATCTTCTTCTTTTTCAAACAAGACTGAGACTGGTACAGGTGAAAGTCAAAGAATAAACATGGACTAACTGACACAAAGGCATGCATAGAGCTCCAGTGGAGAGACCACACACATTGGTTATGAAACTAGCCATCACTGTTGGCACTCAGATGTCACCGGTAGGTCCCCTTGTATTTATTTCCTCAACTCCTTTAGTGTCCTCCATTAACACCCACAAGTATGTCTCCAAGTGCTTACAGGGTGTAAGGCAGCAAGACTCTCTAGGGAATATCAGGGTTTGACCTCAAGGAAGACAAACTTCATGACTTGACACCACTTGTACCAGTTACGCTCATCAAGTGATTTCAACTGTAATTATTGAGTGTAAATATGGACAATGCCAAATTATCCTCCACAAGCTGGAAAACCAGTTTAAATTTATAAGATGCAATTGGTAGCAATGATAGAAACTAAGATGGAACCAACATCTGGAAACAGCAAAAGCCAAAGGGTGCTTCATAGCACGACTTCCCATGTGCAATGAGATGAGAAGCACACTTTCTAGATGAGAAATGATGGGAAAGTCTCATGCCTAATAAGGAGACTGGGGGACTCTCTCTTTGGGGGCACTAATCCTCACTAATAATGAAATTGCCAAAACTCCCAGGTTACAAGAGAATTTTCAGAGATCAGTTTCTCTTCCATACCAGAAAAGGGAAGGTTAGTCCATGAACCATTAAGTAATATGCATTTTATTTGCAGGTCACTGAACCTTCTTCACGTCTTTCTGTAATCAGTCATTAAAATCAGAGATCATGACTGCATCTAAAATAGAAGATGGTGACAAGACATTCACACACACATTCCTCATACCATGTTAAAAACTAACTGGGCAAAGCAGTTTGGGAGTTGAATGAATAGGGATACATTTAACTCTTTATTTGGGCCCCAGGGATTTTACCTGGAATGGCTTGGAAATCCATTAGAAATGAATGGAAAACAATATATAGGATAATAAAAATAAGACTGAAAGTTTGATCCGAAAACAGATGGGAGGAAAATGATCATTGAGATGAGAATTAATATAATCAAATACCTTAATACTGGATTTCCTGGCCATTTGATAAGCAAGTTTTGAATGATGATGTGAAAGTTGTCAGAACCAAAAATGGAATCACTAATACTATGAAAACAAACCAAACGACAGATAATCAATGTGAGTCATCAATACATAAATAGCAATCACAGCCGTGAGATTGGATGAGATCTTTCAGGAAGAAGATATGAAAATAGAGGGAACAGGCGCATGACTGAACCCCAAGACCCTCTAATATTTTAGGGATAGAGCAAAAGAGACTAAGAGTAATCAGAGAGGTACGGAAAAAACAGGTTGGAGTTCCATCCTGTTTTGGACAATGAGAATGAAAACTGAAGTAGTCAGCTTATGCTGAAAAACTGGGAAAGATCAGATAGGAGAAATGGACCATTGGATTTGTCAGCATGAAGGTTAGGAATGACCTTGCCAAAGCAGCTTCAGGAGAATAGTGGGAAAGGAGCCTGCATACAGCGGCAAGGAGATAAAGAATAGGAGCAAGCAGTCAAGAAGGTTTGCTGAGAAGGATAAGAGGGACAGAAAAACGGAGAAGCCCTCACACCCTCACAGCAATTTCAGATGGTGATAGTGGTCTGTACGGAACAGAATGTGGTTATGTATCAGAGGGTGTCCTGGTGTAGGGGCTACTTCAGACCAGAGTCAGAGAAGAGCAACAGTGGGCTGAGCCTTGAAGGTCAGGAAGGAGCCAGGCAAGGGATGACCTGTAGCGTGAGCATTTCAATAGAGCGACAGCTGGTGTGAAGGCCAGGCACGCATATCTGTGCTCAAGGACTAAAGGGAAGGCCTCTGGGGCTGGGGCAGAGGGAGTAGGCAGGGTATAGAGATTTCAGAGAGAGGCAGAGGCCTCAGAGTAAAGAATAAGGGGCATGTGTTTCATTCTAGTGTGATGGGAAGGTCTAGCAGGTTTTAAGCAGGGAGAGCATGATCTGATCAAGATGGAGACAGGTTCTGTATCAGCTGATTGGAAAATGGGAGAATTCTTATTTCATGTTCTTAGTGTAGGGTGAGTTTAGGTTGCCAGTGAAGGCTTGAGTGAAATCTAAGAGTCTGGGAAATTTGAATCTCTTATGCAAATAGACCAAAGGAAAAAGGTAGGAAAACACTAAGAAGCAAATGTGTTTTCCATTGCCTTTGCTTAGCAGCATGCCCTATAAACACTTGCTTCAGAATCTTCTAGAGTGCTTGTTAAACCTCACCTTCCTGGGCCATACTCCAAACCTATTGATCTTGGAGGGTGAGGTGGAACCCAGGAACCCACATTTTAAATAGTCACCTTAAGAGTTCTTAAGCACATGAAAGTGTAGGAACTGGCAGGGCCCGAGATGATCTGTGGCGCTACTACACAGTGACAAAGTCAGCAGGGGGGAGTGGCAAGCTGCGTCCCAAACCCCAGGTCACAGCCCGTCACTCGTCCGTGGCCTGTTAGGAAACAGCTCCAGCACCACACCCCCATGATGCCCCATCCCCATCCGCAGTCGTGGAAAAATTGTCTTCCATGAAACCAGTCCCTGGTGCCGAAAAGGTTGGGACCGCTGTGGTAAGCACAAGCAACGGTGACATGTGGGCAAGAGGGTAAGCCGCACACACATGATCATGATGGAGAGTCCAGACACATGCGCAGGTGAAGACAAAGGGCTGAGGCAGGTTGAAGAGATTAGTTTTCTCCCACGGGTAGGAGGAGCCCTTTTAAATTTTGAGCCAGGGAGTAGAACAATTAATAACACATATTTTTAAAATTTTGGTTCCATGATTGGAAAGTTAAAGAGACTGGCAGCAGAGGGACCGGGAAGAGAGGACATTGTTACCCAAGTAATTACAATGCTTGGAATTAGAATATTGATATAAGAATGATAAAAGATAACAGAGAGTAGCGTTCAAGAGCGACATTGTTACCCAAGTAATTACAATGCTTGGAATTAGAATATTGATATAAGAATGATAAAAAGATAACAGAAGTAGCTTTAAGGGTTGACAGATAGACTTGGTATTTGGAGTTAAGTGACCACCCTGCTCTGGTATTGGGTGCATACTTGGAGGGGCTGATGAATGGGCAGGACTGGTGAAGAATTTGATTTTGAATTGATAACATCCTCTCTGAAATTTAGAAACAGGTGAGAAGCAGGTCTGGGACTGTACCCCATGGAGGTGTTAGAGAAAGTTGTGAATGGGCATTTGTTCAAAGGGAATGAAGAATATGTAGAAAAAAGAAAGAGTGGAATACAATAGTTTTGAGAAAAGTGTACTTAAGGGTCAGGAGACAGTTAAATGTCAGGAAAGCAGACAGAGTACGTTGTAATAAACCAATATATGCAATATCCCAGTCCCCTTAACAAGCTGGGGGTGGTCGCTTAAATGCTGGCTGTATAAAAACAGGTGCATACTTATTATAAGGCTTATGACTGATACTTCGTAGTGACAGCTAACATCTAACTTCCATTTGCCTAGTTTCATATAATATTCAGAACAACTCGAGATGTGACCGGACAATTTATCACCAGCTTCATTTTGCAGAGGAAGAAACTGAGGTCCAGGTAGCTAAATGACTTGCCCAAAAAGTCACCCAGTAGCTGAGGTCTGCATGCGGCAAACGTCTTATGAACTAGGACCTCGTTGTACCCTGGAGACAATTCGAAAGTTAGACCTATCCTATAGCCAAGAGACGCTGCTCTTAACAAATTATAATACTTTAAAATCAAGCCAATTTGGGGAGAAAAAAAATGTTATAATAAACGTTGAATGAGACCTTCTGGAAGCCCACGTCGTTGCAGAAAGTAAATAGCACGACGGAAATTATAGTTTTAATTCATGTATCAACTTTAACAACTAAGTACAGATGTTTGACATTTAGGATCTCTTTACCAATATCACATCACAGTTCAGAGAATCAGAGAACTAGGCTTGGGAACCAGATGCGACTCTTCCGTAGGGCAGGGAGTGGAGGCTGCGCTGCTTTTGGCGGGCAGAAGCGGCGCTCAGCGTGTGCACGGACCCCTGCGCCCAGCGGAGCGCGCGGCGACCCCGTGCACCGCCCGGGTGGGTGTCGGGTGGGTGACCGGCGGGGGCGCCCGCCGAGCTCCGGGTCAGAGGGCAAGGAGCACCTGCTGAATCCCGGGGGCTGGGAGCGCGCCATGCGCCACACCCGGCGTACCAGACAGCGCCCCTCCGTGGCGCAGACTCCAGTCCTGGAGGTCCCGGCTCCCGCAGGAGCCGGTGGGGACAATTCAGGACCAGGAGACTGCAGGGGTCCCCCATGCCAGCGGGGGCAGACAGGCGAGCGTCCAGCAACACTGCCCCCGCTTTCTGGGTAGAAACCCTTCCCTGCCCCACGCGCGCCCCTACCGCCGTACTCCCCCTCCCAGCTCACCGAGGACGCCTGGCGCGACAACAGCCCAGAAAACCCAGAACAGGCCCGCGGCGCCCATGCCAGGGCGGCAGCCCCCGCGGCGGGATGCGTTCCGAGACCCGCGAGCCTCCGGCGGCTCCGAGGGGACGGGCCGGAGCGGCAGCAGCCGCGAGCCGGGGCAGGCGGGCCCTTAAATAGTGTCGCGCGGCACGCGCCAGGGCTGCGCGCACGCCTGCAGGTGGCCCGCCCGTGAGCAGGGAAGAGGCGGGAGGGGCGGCCCGGCACCAGGGGCGGGCGCAGGGACTGCAGCCGGCCTTTGGCTCAGACTGGCCCCTCAGTGCGGTGGCTTTCCAACTTTTTTGACCGCACAACCCTCTACACCCACTTTTTTTTTTTTCTTTCTAGAACAAAATTTGCACAAAGTAGTACTCACCTACTTACTAATCTGCAGTGCTTGCCTTCTGTGCTCCGCCCATACCATGCCATGCTGTTATTATACTGTGCTATCCTAGCCTTTAAATAAAATTCTAGTCTGGATCCACTAAACTCATTTCGAAACCTATTAATGGATTCAACCCCCCCCCAGTTTGAAAAAAAGTTTGTTCACTTAGGAAATTTAGAAACAGCAGCCACCTCCACTATTAAGTTCTTTTTATTTTGAAGTAATTTCTACAGAAAAGTTTCAAGAATAGTACAAGGAATTCCCAATACCTGTCACCCTGTTTCTCTAAACGTTAACATTTTACTATATTGTCTTTGCCATTCCTTCTCTCTTCTCTCTAGATATATATATATATATATACATATATATGATTATATAATTATTACTTTGGACCATTTGAAATAATTTACAGGCATTTGCCTCTCCTCTAAATACTTCAGTGTGTATTTCCTAAAAACAAGCACATTCTCTTCTGTAAGTACAGTACAATGATGAAAAATAAGAAATTAACATTGATAGAATGGTATTTTATAAGCTACCGGCTGCATTCAAATTTCAACAATCATCTCAATAATCTTCATTATAGCAAAAAACAAAACAAAACAAAACAAAAAAAACAGCAGCAACTTACCTTTTTTTTTATTTCCAGAATCATTCCTGGATCCTTTGTTGCATTTGACCATCCTACATTTTTTTCTTCTTTAATCTGGAAAAATGTTCTCAGTCTTTTTTTTTTTTTTTTGTCTTTCCTGCCCTTGACATTTTTTTGAAGAACATACAGCAATTATTTCTGCAGAATGACTTTTAAATTCATTATCTATTGCATAGAAACAAACTACCATAAGCTTAGTGCCTTAAAGCAAGAATACACATTATCTCCCATAATTTCTGTGTGTCGCTTAGTTGTTTCTGGCTTGGAATCTCTCAAGAGATTGCATTGCAGAAGTGAGCGGGAGCTATAGTGATCTGAAGAGTTAACTGGGACTGCAGGATCCACACCTAAGATGGCTCACTCACCTGGCTGTTGGCCAGATGCCTTATTTCTTTGCCCTGTGGACCTTGCCACTGGGTTGGTGGCTTGAATGCCGTGTCCTCATGACATGGTAGCTAACTCTTCCCAGAACAAGAAAGGCAGAAACCACAATGTCCTTTATGACTTATCCTCAGAAATCACACTCTTTTACCTCCTATTTCCATCCACCTGCAATGCCCTCCACTCTTTTACTCTTCAGGGTGGAGGGCATTGTAGGTGGATGGAAACACCAGGAGGCAGAGATCGCTGGGGGCCATTCTGGAGGCTCAATTTGAGTTTGAGCCTCCCTCATCCCTCAATTTGAGTTTGTCTGTAATTTCTTCATGATTATGTTCAGATTACTGAATCTAATTTTTTGGCAGGAATACCAGAGGGCATTGTGTCCTTATCAGGAACTACATGTTATCTATTTGTCCTATTAATGGTGGTGATAATTTTGACACTTATTTAAGGTGGTGTCAGCCAGGTTTCTAGAATGAAAGTTAATATTTCCCCTTTGTAATTAATAAGTATCTTCTGGGGAGATACTTCATGTAAATTCATAATTTTTCATCAAATTTTTATCCATTAATTTCAGCATACACTGATGATTCTTGCATAAATCAATTATTACTATGTTAGTTGTCAAGTGGTATTTTTTCTAATTTAGTCATTACTTCTCTGTTCATTAGTTGGCATTCTGATGTAAAGAAGAGGCTTTCTCTTCTTGTATAGTTATTTATTCATTTATTTGTCTATGTCAGCATGGACTTATTGTCTATATCAATACGAATTGTATTTATTTATTCAGTGGGTCATAATCTGTTGCTTTCTTGATTTATTTTGATGCTCACATTGTCCTTGATTTGGCCAATGGGAGCTCTTGTCATTTTGATCTGTTCTTATTCTTTGAGCATTTCCTTACTTTAGGGCAAAAGGAAAAAAAAATGCTCCAGACTCACCTTGTGCTTCTTCAAACCCAGCAAATGGAATGTGCCATTGCTCCAAGGAATGCTGGCTCTTTTTAGTAGAAAATGGTATTTAGAAACCAATATTTGGATGCTGTGTGTCTATCGTAATTGGAGTATCATTGCTTCTATGCCCTGTCATCAGACAGAGCAAGGAAATATTTGTATGGATATCCATTCCTATGTCTATTTAACCCTGTTTCTGCCTACATTTATATCTCAGTCTTAAATTTATATCAGATCTTCCAATTCTAGTCCATTACCATGGATTTCATTCTACGGTTCCCTCTTTCCAGATGTTTCAGTCCCTTCTTCAACAATGAGACACCTGGTTCCACAATACACTTACTTATTTACTCAATCCTAGAGTACACAGAAAGAACTTTAAAATGGCTAACTCCATACCATGGTGGAAATCAAACCTACTATTTTTAAAAATTTTATTTTATTTATAGCCTGGAAGTATAAAAACAATATTGCTGTGTTCAAAAGTTACTGAGATTGGCCAGGTGTGGTGGCTCACACCTGTAATCCTAGCACTCTGGGAGGCTGAGGCAGGAGGATCACTTGAGGTCAGGAGTTCAAGACCAGCCTGAGCAAGAGTGAGAACCCCATCTCTACTAAAAATAGAAAGAAATTAGCTGGACAACTAAAAATATATAGAAAATATTAGCCAGGCATGGTGGTACAGGCCTGTTGTCCCAGCTACTTTGGAGGCTGAGGCAGAAGGATTGCTTGAGCCCAACAGTTTGAAGTTGTTGTGAGCTAGGCTGATGCCACGACACTCTAGCCCGGGCAGCAGAGCTAGATTTTGTCTCCAAAAAAAAAAAGTTACTGAGATTAATTATCCCCTCTCTTCAGTATGATTGTTATTCATTTGAAATACAATTAGATTAATTTCTTTGCGTATTCTATTTTATTTTTTCTACTCATTTTGATTTTTTTTGCATAGATGAAACATTAATGTAGTTCTGAATGTCAGAGCTATATAAAAAGATATAACCAAGGAAATATTACTTCTCTCATTGTTTTTCTTCCCACACACCCCCTGTAAGTATTCAGTTTCTGTAGTTTCTGGTTTATCTGTCTTTACTTTTGTCCAAATGAGCAGACAACACATCTGTCTTATTTCTTCTTTTTTATTATACAAAAGAAAACATTTTATAGTTTGCTTTTTACACTTAAGGGATACGCTGGAATTCACTCCATATGGGTCCAGAGAGATCACTCATATCACTCATTCTTTTCTACAGCTACTTCATTGTGTGGACATACCATAGTTTATTCAACCATTTCCCCATGTGTGGACATTTAGATTGTTTTTAATGCTGCAAAGAATAACCTTGCACGTATTTGTTTTCCTACTGTTGTAAGGGACGTGGGATTTCTGGGACAAATGATAAACACATATGTAGTTATTTTAGATATTGCCAAATTCCCTGAATAACAGTTGTGCCAACTTACATTCCTCCCAGGAAGGTATGAGAACACCTGTTTCCCCAGAGTCTCGTTAACGTAATGTGTTGTCATCATGCTTTTAAATTTTAGCCAATCTGATAAATGAGAAATTGTATCTCAGTGTAGTTTTAATTTGCATTTATCATATTATGAATGAGCTTGAACATATCTTCGTGGGTTTAATAGCTATTTTATTCTTTTGTGAGCTCTCTGTTCATATTTGTGTCCATTTTTTATCATGCATTTTTGCCTTTTTCTCCCTCAAATTTTAAGACCTTTTTAAAATATACATTAGGAGTATTAGTCCTTTATCTGTCATGTATTTTGCAAATATTTTCTTTCATTTTGTCAGTTGTCTTTTCACTTTGTTTACGGTGCTGTTTTGCCTTGTAAACATTTTGTGTTTTTGTGCAGTTAAGTTGATCAATCTTTTGTTTTATTGCATCTGGATTAGGATTCATAGTTAAAAGGTCTTTATGTATACCCAGGTTATAGAATAATTCATCTATGTTTTCTTTTTGCACTTGTAACATTTCATTTATTTTACAGTTAGAGTCATGATACACTTGGTGCATGTTCTTGTGTTCTTTCCTGGATTTCCTAAATATATTCCTTTACAAATAAACACCATTCACTACCACTGAAACTCAAGTCCTCTTACAGTGATTCTGTTTAAACGTTGGTTGAAAAGAAAAAAAAAAATCACTCCTTTCTGCCTCAAACCCTCCAATAATTTTCCTATTTCATTCAAAGTAAAAACCAACATCGTAAGTATGACCTAGTCAGTACCATATGCTCTGCTTTCCTTTAACCTCTCAGTTTGTCTTCCGCTACTTTTCTCTTCCCCCTTCTGGCCACAATGGCCTCTGCTGTTCTAGAATGCACCCTTCAAGCTCCGAATGGGGTCTTTTGCCCTCCGAATGTTGTATTTTCTCTGCCCAGAATGATGTTCTCCTAACTCTCCCACTAGACAGCCCCCTCTTTTCTTTAGTCTTTCCTCAAAGACAGTGAGATCATCCCTGGACATCCTCTTATATTTCTACCTACCTTCTCATTCACATCCCCTTCTTTAGCCTATTCTCCTTCTCTTAGTACTTAGCTCTATTGAACACATTAGACATTTTTACAATGATTCTTTCCATGTTTGTCTCTTTCTATAATGTAAGACCCATGAAGAAGTATGTATTTTTTTTTTTTTGGTCTGTTTGT